GATGATTAAATGATACTAATTATTATTCTAATGTCTTGTTTTTTATTTGGTTTTATAACTCTGCAACATTGTTCTTTTATAGTTTATTAGTTATAAGTTATGATTTGTGTATTTTTTTCATTGTGAGTTTGATGAAAAATAGTAACACTCAGTAATTTTTTAAATACTACATCATATATATATATATATACACACTATTTGCCGTATCCCCGCAGTGTCTGTGTCCTAATTTTTTTGGATTTTCCGTGTTGCCGTGTCCGTGTCATGTCGTATCCGTGTCCGTGCTTCTTAAATGGTACTTCAGGCTCAGGCTTAGTGTATACAGGTGCAGACATAGCCTTCACTCTACTCTCCTCAGCCTAGATATACGAAAACACATCTCTAACAGAAGTAGGGGCTGGATACCTGTCTAACAATTGTACCCTGGCATGCTCGTATCTCGGATGCAGACCACCCAAGAACTCATAGATTCGATTCCTTTCTACCATAGAATGAAATGCTTTAACATCAGCTGCACACACGTACAGGTATGTAGCCTTGGTAGTGATCTAACTCTTCCCATTTACCACGTAAAGTGTGGTAATACGTAGCAAAAGTTTGGTCTTCCTGCTTGAATCTTGAAATTTGTTGTTGGAGTTCATACAGTTTTGCAAAATTACCAACCGAGGAATACATCTCTTCCACAGCCGTCCAAAGCTTTTTAGCTATTTTCACAAAAAAAAAAAAAAAAACCTTTGCTGATCTATGGCTGCATGGACTGTAACAACCACGTCATAACTAGTGCATTATTTGCACTCCACTCTTTGAATGCAGGATCGCTCTTGGAGGGATACGTGACAGTCCCTTCGATATGGTCGATCATCCTACGACCAGTAATATGCATACGAGCAAATTGAGCCCACTCCATATAGTTCGTCTCATCCAGCCTAACAGTCATAATACAAAGGCCTAAATGGTGATCACTACTACCTCCCAATACTGGAGTCAAACTAGGAGAAAACCCAGTTTCTTTTGAAGTCACCTCTGGCCAGACATTTTATCAAACAATTTCTGGGTATAGAATCCTCAGAAACAAAAACAGCAACAAAATACGTAAAGAACTACCTCTCTAACACACAAACTTCAACTAAAAAGATTACCGTCTTAAGCGACCACACAGTCACCACACAAACCCTAGAAAGCAACAAAGTAGACCATACCAAAATTGCAAACGACGAAGAAAAAGCCGTTATTGCAAAACCCCGCGAACACAAAAAAACACCGATCAAGACTGCGGTACGTGTGGATGTGATTAACACCACTTCCTTGTAAACAAATCCCATCTTGGAATCTCTTCAAAACCCTTCACACCCATTAGGGTTTACACAAACTTGCCTTAGGGTTTCAACTACAAACCTAGAGCTTTACAAACCATGATCTGATACCATGTTGACTTTAAGATATAATCAAATCAAAAGTAAGTGATAAAGAAGAAGAAGAAAAAGAGAAGAAAGACGATGAGAGAAAAAGAGAAAGAGATGGGGAAAGAGAGAAAGAATGAAAGAATGCTTTCATCCTTCCACCACATTCTATTTATAATAACAAGTTTCAAAAATTACACAGAAGCCCCAACATTATATAAGTAATAACAAATAAGCCCCTGACAACAGTTCTACCACATTGCCCTTGTTCTTGTTTGATAATTGATAGTTTTGATTAAAGGTTCAAGTTTTTTTTGCTAATTCAATGATAAGCTTATTGAATATTTACGTGGATATAGGAAAAGGTGCTGAAACATTCAGAAGTAGGACCAACTGTGATACCCCCTAATTTCGGAACACAGGTTGATCAAGTCCGCGCACAAAATCAGGAAATATCAGTCAATCAATAATAAGCAAGCATAGAATACAAAAGAAATAATGATAAAATAAATAAATATCACTGAAAGGGAAATCGAAAATAATAATTAAATAATAAATTCTCTGATACCGTAATCTCCAAAAAATTCTCATTAAAAGAATAAAACCTCCCGATAACAACTTGGAAATCCATACAATGTGGACCCCTAAATAAAATCCCAAACTAATAGATGAATAATTAATGTCTATCTAATAAATAATAAAAACATAATGTAAAGTCCTATGTTAGTGACACTAGAAGAGTGAAGAAGACCGGCCTTTGCTTGGCACGAACTGACTCTACACCTGGAACTGACGAGGACCTGAAAAGATAACAACAAAGGTGGGTCAAAACCCACGAACAAGCCCTTTCTACTACATCCCGAACAGAGACCCGATAAACGATACATCCTAGTCCAACTCATGCAATATCTACGTAGGTCTATATACATAAATATATTTTAATTGGGTACTATGATACGAGCTTGAGATCTCAGGATCGATGGTTAGGGTTGGCGTATATTGCCAGATGAGATGGGTAGCTAGACATAGGAATGTGTGTGCCCTGGTAGAAGAGGTACTCATGACCACCTTGTGTGCGCTTGCATGAGACCTACTAAAAGTCAAGAAAGCGGTGAAATCATAATTCATAGGTGTTACATGAGGAATGAGGAACATCAAGCCCATTGAAATGTAACTAAGTTTACACAATGAATGTTAAAGATCTATGAATGATTTACAGCAGCCAAACAGACAAGTCCTTATGGACATTGTGGATTGGCAGTCTAATAATTATCCCAAGTCTATGAAACTGCCCATGCAAACAATGAGAAAAGCAAAGGCTTCATATGGTAAATGTTTATGCTCAGACCTCAATATATCCTTGTAAGATTTACACTACGAATGAGAAGTTGTGGAACTAATCCCTTCCATGCATGAGAATATGCTCCTCTAGATTCTTCATTTTGGCCTATTTGGTTGTTCACTTGTTCATAAAAGCATAGCATCAAAACAGTTGTTTCTCTAGTTTGTTAGTCTTTTCAACTATGATAAGAAAACTTCAAGATTTACAACTAACGATCATAAATGTCACCATGTATCACGAGTGGGTTCCATGGGGAATTGCCAAGTAGGATGGCTAGGACACTATTTGACCAAGCCAGTTAAATTGGTTAGGAAGCTAAATGTCACCGGCTAGGCACTTGTGATCCAACCCAAAATCTTAAGCTATCAGATGGTGCTAACACTAGCCCTTATATGCCCAAGACCCTTCCCCTCCAAATTCGATATGAGACAAGAACTCATGACATTCTCTCCCACCCAAGCCCGCAACGTCCTCGTTGTGATTGGTCCACCCTGCCTACTCAGATGACATTCTCCCCCACCCAAACCAGCAATGCTCTTGTTCTGGTTAGTCCACCTTGCCTACCCATCCACCCTAACAACGGGGGACTCGGTAACGACCTGGACACCTCCGTGCAAACGCTTGACGCGACACTGAATTAAGAATTGGGCCTGCTCAGATACCATTGTCACGGGACAGGCACTTACAATCCAACCCAAAAGCTTAAACTATTAGGTGATGCTAACACTCACCCTTATATGCCCAAGACCCTCCCTATCCTGATCCATTGTTGGAAAAGAACCCATGACATAAAGGTAACAATTGTTGAATTTCACCGTGTGAACTATGCATCCAAAAAGGGGAAGAATGGCAATTGGAGAAGAATATGGCTACCTAAGTAGCCATGATCAGCACATCACTTCAGCTCATAAGATGAATAAATGACACAAGAAAAATGAGAAGGAAGTTAGTTGACACCAAGAGGAACAACCAACCAACCAAGCCATACCAAGCACATCACTTCAGCCCATAAGAAAATAAATGACACAAGCAAAATGAAAAGGAAGTTAGCTGACACCAAGAGGAACAACCAACCAACCAAGCCATACTAGCACTGAAGCTCAAAAAGTAGGGCAATTGCCTACCACTCCATGTATGTAAGGGAATAGTTGCTGTGAAGAGCACTTATGCCAGATGGCCAATAGACCGCACTTCATTTTCTCTGAGCGCCTTCCTTTTGAGTAGCCATAGCCATAGCCATAGTATGGGTCTACTTTCATCCTTGAAGCAGTACTCATGCCCTTTAGTTCCTTCTACTTTACTTAGCCTTTTAACAACGCTTCTTTCTGTCAGATTACATTAATTTACTCAGCTTTTTGCAGCTTGCAGTATCCAGTGTTTCTGAACTTATCTTTAGACTTAAATAAATGTATATCAGTTTTGTTCTTTTATTTAATTCATATTTTGCACTCTTGATTTAATTGCAATAAGTTCACAGTCGAAGTAAAGTTCTTTTCATTAGGGTAAAAGGAAAAAAATATAAAAGAACCTACCATTTCTTCCTGATCACCTGACCAAAAAAAATTACACTAGACAGAGTTTGCAATTTTCCAGCAGTAGCATGGGGAGAAATGTCTACATCTTTTGACATGGTGATCTGGCATACTATATCAGTCTAATATCGGTCATTATTGAGCAAACATAAGGGACAAAAAATTCAGTATCTAGGGGAACTATAAGGAGGCCTACTTCAAGGAGCGCGTTTGAAGCAATTCATTGTATAAGGAAGTACTACCCACTTAATGTACCCTAAAGGTAATAGTGGCAGAGTAATGTAGATAATATTGAGATATAATTTTGAATCTAGATAAAAGAATGAAAAACAAATATAGTTATTCTGCTATAGTATGTACAAAATAAAATTCAATTCTTATCCTTTCCCCAATGCAGACTAAAGTTTAGTTTCAGAACATCTTGGTCTGGAACACAATTAAACTTTTTCCCTTCCCCACCCTGAGTGGCAGACATAAAATTAAACTAAAAGGCAAAAAGGATTGTATTCTTCTCACTATTAGCAACACCAGGATAAATGCCAAAACTAGTAAGGTAAAATTCAATGGGTTCATCTTGGTCTGTGATCAGAATACACACAGAGAACATGTTACAGATTTTTTTTAAAAAAAGTACAGAAGTAATGACCAAAATGTAAGCTTGACTGCGAAAATATAAACAATTATTCACCCTAACTCAAAATGCAAGTCACTTATATGAGTTGCTACCTCAAATACAGAGAGTTGAGCAACATTATCACGAAGACCATATCCCTTGAATTCAATGCTTTCTCCTTCTAGTAACCGAAACCTGAAACAATTAAGCAAGAATTCTTTCAATTTAAATTAACCCAATCAATCTTGCAGATTAATACAGTAAAAAGAAAACACAATTCACCACGAAACCCTTACTTATCAGCTTTCCAGAACATGGCACAACCATCAACTTGATCTCCGGTGCGTCTCTACCAAGGCAATTAATAGATTTAAAATCTCCAAAATTAAGAAAAGGCTTGGTGGTGGTGGTTGTTGTAATCTCCGAAATTAAATCTAATCATGTGTATGTAAAGAAACCAAACTTCATCCTGACATAGCCAAAGTAGGAAGTGTAAAATTGAGAAAAGAAAGTCCACCTTATAAGAACCACTATATCCTGCTTTCTCCATGATGGTCCAAAGATCAAAATACTTATCCACCTCCTAACGAAAAATAAATAAATAGAAGTTTCTATTGTTAAGCATTACACATCATTCTTGTTTCGTTTCTCTCATATTTTACAAAGATAAAGAAGCAAATAAAAAGCTTACTTGCAAACAGATTATGTGTGGGTTCAATCCTATTAGTTCTTCACATATAGCTCTCTTACGACGGTGCCATTTCATATAAATTGAAGGCACGTTTGGGTATAGATCTCCATGTTTTGAAGCATTTCTGTCCCCCAATATGTTATATGACACGGCCATAAATCTCTCTGTAAAATCACATAAAAATCAAGCACCATTCATATTCAAAGGCTAACGAGGATAACAATATATCAAATAAACCAGCCAAGCAGCAAACTCTTTTTAATTAAATCGTCCACTCTGAATTTTTTATTTATTTTTTAAAAAGAATAATAAAAATTTCACAATTATGTCAAAAATCAAAATTATTTACTAATACCATCCATTTGGTTTATAGGGAAGGAAAGGAAAAGGAAATGTAAAAAGTTGCACATTTAAATTAGGCTCAGACTGCTCAGTTGAGAAGTAAGCTTTACTCCTTTAGTAGTATAATTTATCTCTGTTTCATATATTTTCTCCTTTTCATGGCGGGGAGAGAGAGGAAACTCTAATAATTTTTGTATATTCGTCTTCCCAGATAATTCTAGTGTTCGGATACTCTCCTGTTAGAGCAAAACTGTGACAAATAATTTAATGCAGCAAAACTGTGATATTCACTTTAATCGGAACATTTTCTTGGGAACCAAACAAAGACTATAAAATTTTCGAAGAAGATGACAAAAGATAATAGACCTTGATATTGAGGTGGAGGATCGGCTTCGACCCAGCGGCGGCGGCTGATTTCGAGTGATTGATCAAACCGCCTCTGTCTAAGAGGATTGTACCGGAGACGGGTGAACGATTCTGATGATGATGGTGCCGTGGAGTCACTGGGACCGTTGACGCAGCAGAATATGAGTGGTTTGGTGAAAAAAGGTTGGAGCTTGAAAGATGTTGAGGTAGAACATTTGGTGGTGGCTATGGCCATTGGCACGCTCGGGCAGTGCCACAAGGATGCGTCGGTGCAGCCCATGGAGAAGAGAGAGTGTGCAGAATAAAAGATAAGACGACGGTGCAAGTGAATAAAATAATACAACGATTTAGTGCTATAAAAACAAAATCTATTGGATAAGGGGATAACTGTAATTTTTTAATAGAATAATTACATTTGCTTTATTTGTTCCACAGTTAGAAAATTAGTGCCTTCCTGCCCGTGCATCTTGATGTTCCGTTTTTAAATCACTCTTTATTTGAATAGATCTAGACGGATACATTCTTCCAAGAAAATAAAATAAAATTAGTGGCTTGGTAAATCTTGAAGAATGAGTTTTAACCATTGCATCTACTAATTTAATAATTTTTGTTAAAAAAAAAAAAATTATTGTCAATATTAACTTTGACCCAATGTGTTAAATGAGCTATTAAGACTATTATACAAAAATAGGTTCACCTATAATAATGGATTTGGACGAACCCACTTATTCATATAAATGTGTAATATATCTGACTCTTGAAAAAGGGTTACAAATCAACCGATATAGCAAATTATATTCAACGTATAAGTGAAATTTTATGAGAAGATCAATGTTACTCAAACTTAAACCAAACCGGTCAAGTTTTATTTTTTAATTAAAAATAATAATTTAAATATTGAGTGGTTTTTATAGCAGCTAAGATAAACGTTTAAAAAATGAGAGAGATTATTTTATTTTTTATTATTTTTTTTTGTTGACACGGGAACTCATCTTGGAAGGCCTCTACGGGACCCACCCCAGGCTATAATTCGAGAATGTTGTCGACGACCCCATATCTTAATAATAATTTCAATCTAGAGTTATAATTGTAATGGAAGTGTTCGAATTTGGGACATGAGAGAGACTATTTTATTTTTTATTGACAAAAAGTCTTAGTAAACTTTCATTTGTTGAAATTGTGAAAAAAATAAAAATAAAATTATACACATTGATTCGAAATAAAGAAAACACAACTAAGATGAATCAAGAACCATCCGTGTTCTTTATTTATTTAATTGACAGAGAGAGTCATGAACTACGGAGTATTCTATTTACCGAAACTTGAGCTCACATTTACAACGCCTTGATCATAACCGTACTAAAAAAAACTGTCAATGATAAGCGGTCCAGATTTCAAGTTGGTGGACCATCCCGTAACCCCCGCAATACATGAGATCGGGCTTTGTGTTATGTGACGAACAGATTAAACACTCTCCAAAATGAAAACTATCCACTCGTGATTTTCTATGGATTTCATTTGATTTTGTCGAGAGGAGAGAGAAAAACCACAACACTCGATCAAGTAGGAGCCACCTGTGCATGTTGTGTATTGTTCTTTTAGCCCCAATATACACACATTTTTCATTTCGTGTGGTTGTGTTGGGAAGAGAGAGAAACAGGAGAGAGAGAACTCGGCGGGCCATGGAGACTGCAATTTGCGGTCGAGTCGCTCTTTCCCCTAATCACGTCTTCCACCCTAAACCAGGTACTTTCTCTCTACACTCTATCTCTCTCATTCTATTTGTGCTGTCATAATTTTATTTTCTGTGGATTAAATCTTGTGTGTGGAGATGATTTTTTTTTTTTTTTTAATGCTTTTTTGCGGTTGTATATCATATTTGATGGTTAAATATTCACTAAAATTTGATTATAGAACAACTGGCATTTGAAATTTTGTATGTGTACCCTGTCTGCTATGTTTGGACTTGAAGTTGGAAATTGATTGTGATTTCTATTGTTAAAAGAGTGCACTAAATGTAATTCAAGGATAAGTAAATGAGTAAGGAGATGATATTTTAAGATGTGATAGGGCTAGCCCTCATTGGATTTTCGGGAACTAACAACATGCATATTCGGGGGATTAATCTCACCTGAAAGGGTAAGGATGCCCTTTTCAAGGGGGGAAAAAAAAAATTAAGGTGTGATTGCTTTACTGACACTTTTTGAAAATAAAATTGGCAAAAAAGTTGTCCCCTCAGTTTGGATTTGCTGAAACCAAATCACAAGTTCAATTGAAGTTCAGAATAAGTTACATGGAATTGGCCATAAATACATTTATGTTATGTTTGGGAGCACCGAATCGGTGCCTTGGATTTGGAATTGGAGGAAGTTTAATTCAAAATTTTTACTAAATTTTCTCCAATCCCAAATCCAAAACGCCGATTCGGTGCCGCCAAACATAGCATTAAGCTATATTTGGGAGACTGAATCAGCAGCTAAGATTTGGAATTGCAGGAATTTTAGTTTAAACCTTGAACTAAATTTCATCAAATTCCAAATCCAAGTCACTGACTCAGTGCTCCCAAACACAACATTACTTCTAAGTTATTGGACTTCTTTGTTTTATGGTGTTTTCTTAGAGGATCAATATGGCACGTCATCGGAAACTAAGCCTACTTGATCATTGTTACTTGATGTTAGGATTTAATGACTAATTTATAGGAGGGGAAGGTGTTAACAACCCATTATTCTACTCCAAAATTCAGGCTTCTCACGCTTATAAAATTCCTCCATATTGTACAACGAAATGATGGGCTTTTTATATTTTTCTTAACTATCCATTTGTTATTTTGTTCTTAACCAATAATTATGTGGCTAAGCTTCAACGGAATTTGCTTCTTAGATCAAGTATTGTGATGCTCATATTTGGTAGTGATACCACAGGGGATAAATATTCTCTTCATAAACAATGCACAAACCGGAGCATTTTTATGACACTATCAGCCACAGGACCAGGGAAAGGTGGCGGGGTGTTGGATAGGCCAGTCATAGAGAAAACAACACCTGGACGTGAATCCGAGTTTGACTTGAGGTATGGATAGCAAAGTCTTTAAGCATTTTTGCTATTGTGTTACATATATGACCTTTTCTACTGAAAAGAAGTTCTTTATCTGGAATTCCATTTTAATCTTTCTATTTCTATTTTCTTTATTATTCTTTTCATTTTGCTTCTTTGGTTTAATCAAACAAATAAAATAAAGAATATGAGCAAAGCTCAATAAACAACACCCTTACTAAGCCCAACTCAAATAACAACAATCCAAGAAATTCAAAAGAGGCGATATTAGAGTAAGAAAACAGAAAGCTCTTCAAGGGAAGGGACCTTTTTGTTTATTATGCTCTTTTCATATATACCACATCAAGCTAGTAAAAATATTCTCAGTAATACTGTAAGACCCTTGCCCATAATTGCATAAGTGATTCCTAATTATGTTAAACTTGTTCTCAATGTCGTCGTTTAAGGCCTTACAAGGCAGTTGGGGGCTTGATTCACCCTCTTGAAGGGAAGTTTAACGAGGTCTGGGCATCAGTTGCACTACTCCAAACATGCTGAATAAGGGCACACATTTCCTTTACAATTGGAGGAGAAGATGATATTTTAAACATGAGAGACCTATGAGGGATTACCCATTCCTTGTTAATTGAGTGGCCGACTGTCAATTGACATTTACCTTTAGCTGCCACAACACAAAAAATAAAGGGGGAAAAAGGAAACCTTTGAAGGTGCACATGACCCCTAACTTTGGCTAAAATCCACCATCTCTACTGAGACTGATCCATTTAAGCTTTTGTCCACTAACATGATACCCTCATAATGATATTGTTATAGTCCGTTCAAGCTCTTCTCAACTAACATTAATGCCTTTGCAACAATATTGTTGTAGCCTAGGAAGCATTGACACTTCTCCTAGGGATGTCATGATTGGTGATGGTATTGGTCACACGGACATGACCCGGACACGCGTCCAACATGTGTCGGACACGGCTAGAAGTATCCTGAAATATGAATATTTTATTTTCTGGTATTGGTTCATCTAACTAACACCCAGTATAGAAGAACCCAAAATCCCATCATCCCATATTTTGAAATTCTGAACTCTATTAATTAAGCTCTCCTGCGGCCCTCGTATAATTCCGTTGATAGTTTGTTACGTTCTATATTAGGAATTTATTACTTGTTTTTATGTTAAATTGATGAAGTACAAGTTTTGAGTTTGGGCAATTGCAGATTTCAAGCCTCACTAACTCTTTGAGTCTAATAATAAAGTTGGGATGTGGCCTTTCCCCCATTTAATCTATATATTAGTCTAGAGCCTCCGTATACAATAGCACCTTAAACTCATGCCATGTGCCAAGGAGAGAATTGTAAGAGCGCTTGACAGTTTCATTAAAGAGAAAGGTAGGGTTGGAAGCAAGGCGAGCCAAGCCAAGTTTAGTTTTGGGATGCTCGAGCTCAGCGAGTTCAGGCGAGCTTGGACTAGTCAAGCTCGAGCATGGTGCTATAGTTTTCTGATAAGCTCCGGTTCAGTTCAGTTCAAGCTCATTTCACTGTGCAAAATCTCCTCTGTCCATTGATGATCCCCACCATTGATGGACACTGTCTCAAGCGATTCTAATGGCAGTCACAATTCAACCATTGATGCTGATACAAGAGGAATAATGGAAAATGTAATACCAAATGAGAAATATAGAGAAAGATAAGAAATATGTATATATATATAGAGAGAGAGAGAATCTAGGATTTGAAGTTGTGTAGTTTGTTGACCCTTGTGGCTGCCGTTGAGCGAGGTTGCCAGCTGAAGACTGTTGTTTGTGGCAAAGAATAAAGAGCGTCGCTGAGGTGGTGGTGCTAGGCCGGGGCGGCTAGTTAAGAGATAAAGTTGTACTATTAGGTTTTACATGGAAATATTTGGCTTGGGCTTCTGGGTTTACAATGAAAGAGGGGATTATTTCTAAAGCTTTGGGCTTGGGCTAAGGGTTTATTTCTGAGACAGTGAGAGAATCATGATGGGCTTGGAAATAAAACTTTTGTGGTCAATAGCTTAGAAATGAAACTTAATGGACCTTAAATCATACATTATTCGAGCTTATTCACGAGCTTATGCGACCCGAGCTTGACATTGTTCAAACTCATCTTGTTTATTTAATGGGTCTTGAATATGAGCTCAAGTTTGGCTCATTTATTAATGAACCAAGCTGGAGCCGAGTTCTTAACGAGCCAAGCCCGAGGTGTTCATGAAAAGCTTGGTTCATTTGCAGCCCTAGAGAAAGGTTGAGGAAGAGGACAAGTGAGATGCATGTGTCTTCTTCTTCATTTTTTTATTATTTTTTTTTTAATACTGAGGAGAGATGTTGAAAGAGTGGGAGAAGGGTGGGAGGAATTGATATTCAGAGAACTTCATATAGATTCTAAGAGAGAGGAGAAGACGGGGTGGGGGTTGGATTTTCCACACAATCAGGAGGATTGAACAGAAAAGAGTAGAGGTACTGAAATTGTGGATCTTATGGGGGGGGCATAGAGACAGGGACGGACGGATCTAGAAATTCATATGAGGGGGCAAATTTATACAGAGGAGATTGTTCATAATTTCAGTGGGGGCAATTTTAAAATTTTATGGGTATAAATGCAAAAAAGTATAAATTTAGGAGTGTAAAATGCAATAATAAAAAATTTCAGTGGTGGCGGATGCCCCCACTGAGCCCTTCACAGATCCGTGCCTGCATAGAGATTTAGAGTTGCCAATAATTTTGGCTCCAATAAAGTTGCTAAATGTACAGATATATGTTGTCAAATGATGTTACGATTTTGCAACAGGTAATACTGCTTTGCCAATGTTACCTACTAGTGACATTAAATATATAATGTTTCAGTGAATGGGTTGCACACATTGCATGGGATTGCATCAAGTTCACATTAAGCCTGCATCACTTTGCATCTTAACTCCAATTTTGCAATAGCTAATACTGCTTTGCCAATGTTACCTACTCTGTAAAATCAAAAAAATTCAAAAAAATTTGTTACCCACTATTGACATGAAATATATGATGCTTCAGTGAATGAGTCCCTCACATTTCATGGGATTGCATCAAGTTCACATTAAGCCTGCATCACTTGTATCTTAACTCCCATTAGATAGCATTTCTAGTGAGGGTTTCGACACGAGGGTTCTATCATCCACAGTTGGCATTATTTTCTCCCCCTTGATTGTTTCTTAAGCCAGCCTGACCAGGATGCACACCATATTGTTAATTGCAAGAAATCACCCCTTCGATATATGTTTGATTGGATTGATTTCTTAAGCATATTGTGATTCGGTAGACATTGATTGGGTGATATGGAGTAGAAAATTTGATTACAAAGGAGGTGGACCTATCTCATGAAATATCTTTGTTGTTTCTTGAAAACTGAGGCTGTTCATTTGTTGATTTATTGCTGATTATTGGAAATTGTGGTGGTTTATTTGTAGATTTACCATTTGGTACATGAAAAACTGTTTTGGCTTCTTTGTCTCATTTTATTACCCAAGAAACAGAATTTTATAGAAAGCAAATTTCATTGTCTTGATTTTCAGGAAATCAAGGAAAATGGCCCCACCTTATCGTGTAATGCTGCATAATGACAACTACAATAAGAGGGAGTACGTTGTTCAAGTGCTGATGAAAGTCATACCAGGGATGACAGTTGATAATGCGGTTAATATCATGCAGGAGGCACATTACAATGGTCTTTCAGTGGTGATTATCTGTGATCAAGCAGATGCAGAAGAGCATTGCATGCAGCTGAGAGGAAATGGTCTTCTTAGCTCGATTGAGCCTGCAAGTGGAGGTTGTTAAACACGGATAGCCTATTACTACTAGAAGAATCTGGTTATGTGTACATAAATCAGAAAACATTTGCATAAATCTCTTGTTGAATTAAGATAAGTAAATAGATGATAACGACCCGTCAGTTACTCCAATGTGGGTTACCCCTTTGTACAGTAACTCACGTGTGGATTGTTTGTGTTTAATCCTACCTGAACCCGGTTGGTGGTATTATGGAAATCTTTGGATTTCTCAAACTATTAAGCACGATATTTATACTAAGAGGAAGATAAAACGGTTTAAAAATAGATTTTGTAGTTCTGTGACTTATTGGGGTTGGATCTGACGAGGCGAGCAAAATGGACCAGTTTTAACTTGTTGCTTGGTCCAAATTGAGTATATTTTAGGGTCAAATGCGAAAAACAGCATGCTTACAAAGCATATCACTCTAAAAAATACTCCTATAGTTTTAATTTGGTGCAAATAGGTCCTTCTGATAAATTTAAATCTTAAGTTGACTAAATTATCTTTACGGAATCATTTTATAAATAAGATATATAAAAATAAATAATTTTATAAAATGACCGAAAATGAAACTATTGGAGAACACCATTCACGTGCAAAAAATACCTCTAAAAAATTTTAATTTGGTGCAAATAAATCCCTCTGACAAATTTAAACCCTAAGTTGATTAAATTACCTTTAATAAACCATTTTAAAATATATATATAAATAAATAATTTTGTAAAATGACCGAAAAAGACACTATTGGAGGACACGAACAATAGGCAAGTAAATATAAAAATAAAAATAAAAGTATAAAAGAAAAGTAGAGATAAAAATAGAAAATAGAAAATAAAAAACAAAAATAAAGTGCAAACTAAAGAAAACAAATATGCTACAAACTCCGGAAATCAGTGCACACTGATATTGGGATATTTATTTATTTTTAACAGTGCTGGTACCAAAAAAAATAAAAAAAAATTAATAGATAAGAGTAAACTGAAATCTTAAAAAAATAAAATACTTGTTATACAAATTCTCAAAGTTTCGAAAAAAAAAAGTTCAGAAATATATATAGAGAAAAAAAGTTTCAAATATATATATATATATATATATAAAAGGTAATGTGCACATAACACCCCCTATACAGATTAATAGTATATATACTCCTTGAATATTTTCAGAAGAGTAAAAGGGCAAAACTAATTTATGTCAGATTTCTTATTGAGGGGTATTTTTACACAATGTAAAAAAATTAAGGATATTTTTTGCACACTTTTTCAAAAAAGGGATAAAAATGCTACGTGAAATATACTTTAAAGACGCTTGTCCCTTTATTTTATATCAATTCCGGATAGTTCTAGAAAGTGATTTTCTTGCTAGGTTTGTTTTGTTATTAAAAAGCTTATCTAAAAGTATTACTGGCAACTGGCAAGACAGCCCTATTTTAATAAATAATAATAATATTAGAACTTATAACACACATGCGTCATTCTTAAATAGCTTCATTACAATGCCACCAAAAGTTTTGGTGACAAGCTGGTAATTTCATTTGTAAACAGTTTAAATTTGGTTGCACCATCCATGGGATACTATTTAAATGAATTATCGTTCACTCACCAAAAACAACAGTTTTGACAGTGCAGAAAATTTTGGGCATGTCTATGAGAACGCACCCTCTCACGGTTAGCTCGTGCGGCCTGTTGGGCGCTTTAACCATTCAGCCATGGACAATTACATAGCGGGGATCCTCGTACATGAACATTTTTCCGTTTCTGTAGAAAATAACATGCAACTGTTCTGATATTCTTAAACTTGCGTTAATCCTTTTCCTGTTACTTGAAGCAAATAAAAGGCATAATGGACAATTACATTCAAGTCCGGATAAATTCACGAAAATACTTCAGTCAGTAACAGCAAGTTCAATTTCTTGGCAATTTACTCTCGGTAGTCATTTGGTGAAGTAATAATGAGCATTTAACACTAAGCTAAGGGGTTCATACAAAATAAATAGAAGGGCACTGACCTACTCCATAGCACCAAGAGTTGGCTAGGAATAACACAAGGGCACGATAAAATAAGAAAATAATTGTACAGCATATATTTTATCCATATGAACATCGCAGACACCCATACATGATCTGAAACTCCTACAAGACCGAATGTCCAATCTTGAACTTCGTTACCATAGAATTTGATATTAGGGGCATTTCGTTAGCAGTTTGTTAGACAAGAGCCAATTCCTTCTATTGCCTGCATGGTACGGAAACTGGCATATCAAGGGCATTTTCTTTGTATGTAAGAAGCCCCATGCTCTTCGTACCTGTCATTTGCACATAATTGAATGAAGCAATTGTGAGAAACAAACTCATAAAATATATTGCTTCAGTGCAATTTCCTAAACATAGGGTACTGAGGAAACCATAATATAAAAAAATATTTAGTACAACCATATAAATAACCTCAATAGCACAATTAGAGAACTAGGGCATGAAGATTCACTCACTCAGACTTGGAAAACCACATTTGCTGAAAGGAACCGAGAGATGCCAATATGCTCCCTCCAATCCAAACACTGTACAAATATTCATAAATCACCAGCATGAAGTGAGGAGAGATTACTAAACCATTCTATTAACAAAGATTTTGTAAAGAAGTAAAAAACATAAATGCCAGAAAGATCAACTAAAAGTATGTCAAAAGGCATAACTAAACCAGAAAGTAGGAGTATAAGTTTTGTTATTTACAAAACTGTTGTTTTTTACTGGAAGTGCCGGGCCATAAATGGTAGCAATAATTTTGAAGTATAATAATGATTGATTTGCTGATTGCCTGCCTAAATTGATTTACCATAAGGGATAGACTGGAATGTAATATTGCTCTCCCATGTTGCAGTTGGTGATCCATATACAGATTGTCTTGATCAGAATAATTATCCACCAAAACATTTAAAAAGGTCTCAGAGCTTGATACAAGTCAACAGAATAAGATCCACCAAAGGATGAGTCGTCTCTTTCATGGTGTTAAAGTGGATCTAGTATACGAACACAAGTATATATATATATATATTTCTTGTATACAATCTAATATTTATAAAATTTGTATTACTAAGGATCAGATCTTGCACGGTTAAGAGAAAAATTATTATATATTCAGGTCAAATTATCTCTATTGGTAAGGCCAGTTTATATGAAAATAGACAATAAGTGAAAATCAAATGCAGTGACGATGTGCAGTGAAAATAGACACTTTAAAATTGTAGTATTCTTTCATCCAAAGTGTAAAAACACCATGGTGAATTCAGACGAATCTAAAAAGACAAATATCCAGCCCCCTAAGTGCAGTGAAAACCATTATTCTTGAACATTCATATATATATATATATATATATATATATATATATATATATATATATATATATAAGCGAGAAAAAACTGAAACGGTAAAAAACCAAAAAGAACAAATTTGACATTTTGCAGATCTCAACTCATACAACGCTGCATGTGTGCATGAATATGACAGAGAGATAGTGGGCTAAGCAAGACATATTCAACCTGAATCTCCTCTCTGTTGCATTTCCACTTGCCAATACTTTAACTCTAGCTGCTTGAGGAGACTCCTAGAAAATGAAGATCAAATAAACACAGGATCAAAACCAGTCACTAATCACTTGAAAAACTGAGGAACCAAAAATAGTTAATTGTAGAGACCCTTTGTCAATCATGTTTACAACCAGTAATACCACACATTACTAGTAGTAATATCCTGATAACACAGATAAAAGTAACAAGTATTTTAATGGAAAAAAGATGCTCCGAATATCATCCAAGGAATCTAGATGTAAATCACAAAATTTCCATTTTTTAAGGATATCTCCTTTTAATCCCATTCGCACTCCCCCCAATAGTTATGGAGGAGTTCTATGAAATTAATCATAATACCTGACATCCCGGATATACACATCAAATACCACAAGAAAACTACAACTCAACTCAATAAAGCCTTATCAATTATATGAAATCAGCTACTTAAATCCTATTTCACTATTCCACTGTGTAGACCAGATTTTATGTAAAACTGCAAGCTAACTTGTATTTCCTTTCTATTGCTGCAACCACATTAATTTTTGTCTTTCCTTCTCATAGCATTTCCTTTAATGTTGTTTCACATCTACCCATCTACCATTGCAAGATGGTTTTATATGATTGTTTTGTGGAACTTTCCCTTAATTTTTATAAGTTTATGTTGATTACATAATACACCTTAAGCCTTTCCCCGCTTACCATCTGCATTAATTCTATAAGCAACAGTATATTTAGTCTCTCCATCTATATGAATATAAATCTTAGTTACTTCGGCAAATTACAAATGAGACATCAACTAGATGACACCAGCCTTTTAATCAATGAAATAAAGTAAAACAAAGCAAGCACCAACTACATCTACTAAAATAGGATCTAAGTTATGCTTAAGTTAGAAACAATACCTCTAGCAAATCTTTCTCAAGGCGTTCTTTTAACTGTTGCATTGATGCTGTGCCACCCGCAAGCTGTACAAAAGAGAAACATGAATCGAATCAAAATCAACATGGTCAAATGATTGATAACCAGAGAGAGTTGATCATTTAGATAAAAAAAAATAAATACATAGAAAAAATAAGCACATAATGCTCATGCTAATTAATTTCCCGCATCCGTATGTATTAATTACCAATAATTCATTCACATAACAATATGGTTAGACCTCCATTTTGTTTTTGTTTTTTTCATTCTTTTCAGGCATTAAGTCCTGTACTCAACATGCCTTCTTGAATTACATATTTTTGCATTTTAGATACTATGTTCAGGGCATTATTGTAATAACATTTTCATCTGCAACTAAAATTATCCATAGGACTGCAAATGAACTGAGCTGTTCTTGGCTCGTTAAAAGCTCAGCTCATGCTCATTCATTAAGTAAATGAGTTGAGCTTGAGCTCATTTTTCAGACTCGTTTAGTAAACGAGCTGAGCTTGAACAATGCTGAGCTCAATTCGTTAGGCTTATAAACAAGATTGTATACTTCAAATTCTTGCATTTAAAAGTTTAGCCACTATCAACTATGAACCGTTAGATTAAAATAAAATCCAATGGTTCTAAACAAACCCTACCAACAAGAGATATCACATCCGTCACTCACACCCTAGCTGCCATCTCCATCATTCTGTCAAATCTCTCTCTCTCTCTCTCTCTCTCACTTCAGATCAGCTTGTGGAGTTTCTCTCATATCTATTGTATACCTCTCGCCTCTTCCTCATTCTTGCACTTTCATCTTTGCCACAACTATGAAGAAGAAGACCCACAGGTGCCCAATGTTGCCAGAAAGCTGGCGACGATGGTGGTTGAGAAATCAGGGGTCGTCGGAGATATATATCGACAAAGAAATCAGAATGTGAGCAAGTTTTTTCTACATGTGTACATATTTATATATTTGAATATGTATAAAAAAACCGTATAAAAAATAAATTATGGGTATATTATACAATGCCAAATGTATATATATACATGTGTGATTTTATATACTAACAAGCTCAAGCCAAGCTGAGTCCGAGTTTAGCTTAACAATGACGAGCCACGGAGTACTCACTATACAAGAAATTACACTAAGAAGGAAGCTGTGTAATGAACAAAACATCTTCGTTCTTTACAAAATCAGATTGTTAGAAACGAGTTAATTTTTCCTGGAGAGGGGGGGTGGGGTTCACCCTTACCTTCACTCAACTATATAATTCAAGAAATAACTTTTCAACCCACGAGTAGGCCAACCATTGGAAGATCACCCATTCCTTCACCAAATGCACCAAATCAAGCAAAGAGGAACAACACTCTGAGCACTCCCCTTCCAACCATTGAGTCTGCTCCCTCTCTAATTATGCATTTAAGTCCATCACTTAACAAAGGAGCACCTATGTAACTCTAGATGGGGCCAAGACCAACAACCAAACATCTCTAGCCACAAAAGGATAATTATGAAGGTGATCCACAAACTTCCCCGCCTCATTCCACATACAGCACAAATTGACAATTATTTTAATTCTCCTATGTTATCGATAGTTAGATTCTTCCAGTGTTCCACCAAAAGCACATAGAAAGCCCCTTGGAAGGATCCCGAATTCTCCAAATCCCTTTCCTTGGAAAGGGTGAACCATGTTAACTAGACACCAACCCTAATAGGATTTCAACTTAAATCTACAAGACTAGGAGAAGCCCCATCTATTCTCATCCTCTCCGCCCTAACACAATTTCACTCCGTAGAACAATTCAAGCAGGTCCACTATAATCTTCATTTTGTATTTCTGCAGTGTACGAAAATGTGACATTCAAAAAAGTTCCATCACCCACAAAACTAAGTCATTCTGCTACTGCTGCCTCTTTATCTAAAGCAATCCAAAAAACAAAAGGGGAAGACATTTTTCGAAGTACATCCTTCACAACAATTATTGAGAACAAAATTTCACTCTATTAGCCTCCACAACTGAAAAAGTATATGCTGGAATAATTCAACAAACCCTCTCCCAATGCATTCTTCATAAATAAACACCATATGGGTATTCACCTCCCACCCCAAGCCAATCCATATTTAGTAGTCATTACCTTTGCCGATAACTATCCCATTCAACAGCAAATCACGTGTATTTCCCTAACAAGCTTGATCAAACAGTTTAAGGATTCTATATCCAAGCCTCCTTGAGAAATAGGTAACAAACTGCGCCCAATCTACCAAGGGGTATTTACCTTGATCCACTCTTAAAGAAAGTATCACTATAGTTTCTCCAACCCCAACAATGAGTGGTATAGTAAAAATAGACATGACTACGTCAGTAAGCCGGACAAACCCAGAGGAGAACCTTTTTTATTTTATTTTTAAGTTATACACTCATAAACAACAAACTGTGAGAGGAGACTAAAATTAAATTTCTCAAAGCCTGAGAGTCTAGTCAAGAAAAAAGAAAGAAGCCCCAAAGATGTACATTTTCAAGAATCAACAAACGGGATGCCAAACATGCCCTGTAAGGAAAACAGTAAATAAGCAACCTGTTTCAAAAAAAATAAACAAGTGGGTCAAAAGTCGACCTAATGACACTGGTGGGAACACAGAGCGAGATTGGAAATTCAAGCACATCGTTAAGTGTCCGAACCAGAGTTTCTGCACATTAACAGCCCATCCGTCACAAAACTTCAGAAACCACAACTGCGTGCTCGCCAGCAGAAATTCATTTCCACCTGATAAGGATGGAAATTTTGGCCGCATCCAAAACAAATGCAGCTGATCGTTGGAAACCAGAAGCCCCTTCATATATAAGTCACCAATGTCTCACAATCACGGTCGATAAAAGCATAGGGCACACATGTTTCCATCCCGCATGAGATTACAAGTTTCAGCCCACTCCAAACCCTAATCGCCCTTATATAGCGGACTATAAGAGAGTACTAAACAGGGTCCACAACCCACGAGAAGAAAAAAAAAAAAAAAAAAAAAATCCTCATTTTTCGGGTCAAAACTGGGTTGCATTGGAACAAAATTCAAGCCACGACATCACATGAAGAGTACTGCATATATAAGAAATTCGAGATAGGACTCCCAGATATTGATATATTTGAACCGGATATGTTAAAATAGAGGAAAGAATAGCAAATTACTTGCCAACAGAACAGGTTCAAATACATGATAATCAAAATGACAATGTCTCATATCCCAAATAACAATAATAAAGTAGAGCTTCCTGATTAAGGTGATACAGGTATCATTATAAATGGTAAAGGAAAATGGAAAAAACTGTCCAGGACCTCCAAGTATGCCATACAGATTATAGCTAAAAACAAAAAACAAAATGCCATGATGTTAATAAACAAACAAGTACAGTATAACAATAATGTAAAGCACTTTTCTCTGGATCCTCAAACTTCAACCCAACACAACTAGCCATGCCCGAACTACTTGGGCAGGATAATGAATCAAACCTTTATTTATTATTTAAACCAACATCAATTTTAACCTCATGGCCTAAAAAAGCCTCAATGTGGACCATATTACATTCCAGTAATTAATCCTCAATGCATGTGGCCAAACCAACATAATCGATTCTCTCAATTTATCTCCAATTTTGATGCCACTTCTATTGTCTCAAAAGGCTGTTTTATTTCTAGTTTCATCATTTCTTATCTTACCACACCTCCAATTAACATCCTGATTTTAATGACTTCCGCTACATGAATGTAGCTGATCAGATAAGGATTTTAGACTCTTTTTTTTTGGTTTCACAGGTATGTGGGATAGAAGTAATGACATGATACCCTAGAAGCTGTGAAGCACTTGTTCAATCTATACTGTTTTAATTCTATGAGCATCATTCTCTTGGATCTCTCCCTCTCCAAGAATAATCGAGCATATATAACAAAAACTTGCACTCTGTGGTATTTCTTGCTTTCAATCTTCACATCCTCATTTTTCACTACTCATTTTAGTTTTAAAAAAAGTTATGTCCATGTGTTTCAGTTCTAATCATACACATCTTAAACCCTCTCAATTCTAATGCTTCTCTCTGAACTTATAATCTGACATTTACATCCTTCAAACTTATACAGAAAAATAAAATAAAACTTCATGTAACTACATGTGCAACCTTTGTCAATGGAAGGGGGAAAAAAAGAAAAAAATTAAATCCTTCATACAGACTGCCAAGAGACTCAAATTACAAATAAGCTCCTCCCTTTTACAAAATTTTCTCAGGCAATTCTCCACTGAAATTTGCATAAAAAAAGTAATTTTAATCCTATACTTGAGTAGCATATCTACACTCATAGCTTGCAAAAATCAGCAGAACCTTTTAAGGTAGTCAGTATGATTGATTGTTTTGTTTTCAGTGCCTGTGCAGACAAAATACAATACCAGAGTGAAAAGCACTTACAAGTGTATATGCTAAAAGGAAGTAGTACATGAAGCTCCATCAACAGTGTTGGGGGTCTTAGTTTATGTAACAGATCAATCTCTCCACAGATCACATTCATAAAAAAAGGGAGAGAGAGAGAGAGAGAGAGAGAGAGAGACCATAGGAGAGAAAGAAACAACGGTCTTAACAACCAATATCAATACATACAGAATAAAAGGTTCTCTACCACTAAAAATTTCGAACTTGAAGTCCATGTTACACAATTGTGTAAAATCTTTGCAAGATGTAGTTAAAAAGCTTATAATGATTTAATAAATAAATAGAAAATCAAAATAGAATGGAAAAACAGTGACAAGAGTACAAATATATTTAACGAAGAGAGTTTAAATCAAGGACTTTTAATAAATTTACCAAAATACTACTAAACAGTTCTCTTCGAATGTCTACATCACACTTATTAATGCTCTCAATAACCTGCATAATTCAAAAGGAAAAATTAATTAAAAAGAAACAAGAGAATAATATATCAATGCCCAGATGATGCAAGCAGTAATGCACCATGAAAGAGAAAGAAATACCATTTGTGGCAGGCCACGAACAGAAGAAGCAGTCTCTGCAAAACTTTCCATACCAGGAATAGTCTGAGATTTAGATCAAAAGTAAAAAGCACAACATCAAGGCAAAGTAAGTCAGTTGAAGAATGTCCAATAATTCAAATGGAAACAGGAAAGGTTCAGCAAAGTATATACTTCAACAACTTAACTAGGGAATTGAACACTTGCACTAAAATTTATAAGTAATAGAAACATCAAGTGAAAGATCGCTGAAGCTGTATTGAATAAAGGAGTAAATTTCAAAAGTAATAAATAAACAAGAGCACTGCACACAAACAGTAGATAAATTTGCATCAAAAGTTAGTAACTAGCTGCACTCTAATATTTCAATGATTGTTTTACATATATATGAATTGTTTGAAAGTAACTACGCTCAGATACAAGTATGAACAGAGAACGGTATTATGACTTTTATATATAAATGTCCAAGACGAGAAATGAATACAGGGATTTAAACAATATTCTGGTACAAAAAAGGGTTATCGGTGAAGAAAATTTTGTCTAATATTATTAGATATGCCAGGTAAGCCCCATAAGATATCAATCAGAATAGCAGCATGCACAAGGAATTGATTCCCTTTTTATGATCTGTAAGAAGTTAAAAGGAATTTTTCCCTAACAACTGTTCGCACTATAAAGAGATGAAATTGTGTAAAGTTAGTTCAAGGATTTATGCCACCACGGTAAACATTACTGATCTCTTGGAAGACCTATGGATACAGCATGCCAACTGACAGGCAGAAAGTTATTAAGATATCAATCAGAATAGCAGTATGCACAAGGAATTGATTCCCTTTAATTAATTTTCTAATTCATATACTTTAAAATTGCATGATGTGGAAGATGAAGAAGAAAATTCATCATGATTAATATATTATACATATCATGCTCATGCCATAATTGTGTTTGTTGCATGCTTCGCTTGTTTGCTACAATGTCAAATTGTCTTAAAGAAAAAAAAAAAGGTTGGACATAGGGTGTCTTTATCTGCTTCCAAGATTGTTGGAAATGGAACAATTTAAAATATGATTCTTCTATGTAAGTCATTATTTGGAGTGCCTGCGATGTCTTAACCAAATATCCAAAATAATGAAATTTATTTTGAAATTATGGACTTGTCCAAGGGGGTGTGGAATATGTATCCATAAAAGTCCGTGAACTCTCAGTGTCCAACATGTGTTAGAAACGACAAGACACCTTTGTAAAAGTGTTTGTGCTTATTAGACGATGGTTTTGAATATCCTCGATAAGTGATGACATTTTCTTATACTAGGCTAGTAAAGGTTATGTGGACGATGTTGGTCATCACAAATACAAAACTTCTTCAAAACTTCCACTTGATCAGCAAGAATGCTAGACTAACCAAGCTATGTGCAAAGAACTTCAGCTCTGAGAGTTTTACATGCCAATGTTACGGTAAAGTTTAAGTATCTTCAATTAGGTACTTCAATTTCAAATAGCCTCAAATGCCCTAAAGATGAGAACTTGTGAGTGCGCAAATTTACCGAAGGCAGCTTCAGGAATGAGCCAATGTTTAGGTCTATTTCCAGTTCACTCCTGCCAGCACTCCCTATTAGTGGAGACTAACACATTGTAGTGGAAGAAGCAATAACAAAAGAACGTGATTGACAAGTAAATATGAAGAAACTTGTCCTCACAACATTCAATAGGGTAGTTCCATGACTTGGGGCCAAATGACCCATAAAGCATTGCAGTAAATGCAGAAATTTGAGCATACGTTTGCATCTTATGATGCATAAGATAAAGTTCATGCCTCAAGTAAATCAAACATATTCATCCAAAAATTAAATGGAAAAGACAAAAATATCAGAATGAAATGAAATATACCCCCAAATTTCCCAAACATTTTTAAAAATATCAAAAAACTGGAATATCCTAATTTTGTAAGGCACCAACCTGAACCAAGGATGGATTGAACAGAACATCAGGAATCTTGAATCTGTCAGCTCCAATTTCTATTGTCCTGGGTGATACATTTATGTATAAACATGAAGGATCATTTTGATGATAAACAAATAATAAGTTTCATAAGTGAAAACGATAGCTGAAAAGAAAAGATTTAGCAGCTGGTGACATTAGAGGCAATTGCCGTATTGTAATGTGATATAGAAGTCGGCATGAGCATCAATGAACTGTTTATAATAGAATAGTGTACATGCTGATAGACCTCTGTGGAGGAAGGACAGGTTTTGAAACCCGGCGTATGAGATTAAGGGGGCTGGGTACACATCTATCATTTAACATTAAAAAATAATGCAAGTAGACCAGGAAATGCACAAAGCAAATCAAATACATTGTAACAATGTAACCCTATTCTCACATAAAAACCTCGCTATTAGAATTGGATGGGACTTACTGTCCGTCAGGAAGCTCATATGGTGTCATTGGAATGTTTGAATATGCACTCTCTGAAAAAAGAGGACAAAAAATAAGTATGCATTTCTGTGATTATGCTTTTGAAGCTTTGCAGATGAAATACAATTACAAGTCTACATATAATAATACCAGATATGCAATAAGCATAACAAGAATTTAACATAAAGCAAAATAGCAATACGAAGCATCAGTTAAAGCAGAAGAATGTTATTATAGTTTATTAGTGAGAATTGTGGACTGTATATTTCTTTGTCTTAAGCAAAAGATCATCAAATTTCAGCTAAAAATAAGTCTCAGGAGAGTTGGCCCATCTCATTTTCCCATAATCTAGGGAATCTGTTCCCTCTTTCCCCTTTCAATTCAGTTTGTTAGTTTCCTCTTATTTTTTAAACAAGACTCCAATAATAATAATAAAAAATAAGGAGAAGAGTTAAGTGCAAACAATGAGATATTGCAAAGTGACGCTTATTTTTTCAAATTCCAACTTACGTCACCAGGTTTAAGGTTATTATTTACAACATTAACTAAAAAATTAGTGATGCAATGGCTGAATAACAAGCTGAAGTACTCTAAAACTATACATATGATAAGCAATGAACCTTTATAACATACGAAGACAAACTTAAAAAATGTTTTTATAGCGCAGAGATTTTAACATGCTAGATTAAGAAGTGGCAAGAAAGATTAGATAATATGGACATGGGACTCAAGACATGGACAGTCACAAGCATCAAGAGTAGGACATAAACATGGAGAGAGCACACAAACATATAGACAGATTAACATATAATGCTCTATTAAAAATCGTATTATATTGATTCATTTAGTCATGCACTCATGCTTCTCTCCTATCATAAGCATGAATTGGAAAATAAGTGTGTAAACCTACTTATCATAGTTTCTTCTTAGTAAAAAATAGACATTTCTGAACGTGTCCTAGAGTTGAGTGTTTGACCATTCCGGGCAATGGTTCACAGACACGGATGCAGCATGATGGACTCAAGAAAGTATTGAGCATAATGTAATGGAATCGGGTATCGCAATCATGAATTTTTTTTACCCCACACATAGGGCCCAAAATATGGGGTTTTAATGAATTTCAGTGATTTTGTTAAATTTTAAAGATGATTTTTTATGATATAAAGCACAGTAATACATTCATATATCCGACCTTTGACAGATTTATGAAGGAAGCTTGTGGATAATCTAGAATAAAAGAACAATATAATGTTATATTCAGCCATTTAGGTGAAGAAAAATAAATAAATAAACAAAACTCACCAATTAGGTCTTGGGTAAGATGGATTTAATTCAAGATCTAAGACTAGATCTTAAGTATTTTGATGTTTGCTGCTCAAATCTAAGTTGCATATGAGTTTGGGAGTGAGGGAATGCTGGTAGCCTGGTAGAGTGAAGCAGAATGGTGAGAAAGTGGGTAAAAAGACTTGGCAAGCTTTTATAGTCTCAACCGACTCAGCTTAGTCAGGCCCTAGACCCCTGGATTCTCCCAAAGTAACCAACGATTCATGAGTCTCCACGCTATATCGGCCTGAATTGGACTCGGCAAAGGCCAAGTCGACTAACCATGTTCTATGCATGTCATAGGACCAACCACTACTGTAAAATTATCCCACCCCGTACTGTAATTAAATACCACTCAAATTTTGTCAGATTGCTTAGCAACTAATGGTCTGGATTCCAACCCAAGAAAAAATTCAACCAAACTCAAATGAGAAGTTTTAGGACATTAGAAATATTAACCAAAATAGGAACTTTAGAAAAAAAACAACACTTCTCAAAATAAATAATATCGTTAGCCAATAAAACCTTCTACCCCCTAGAACGACACAACTACTCCCCACCAAAAAATAGGAATAGCTAAGCCCAGTACCAACACCGCTAGCTTGGATATCAAGCAAAAACCTTGTAGGTAAATTACTAATATACCAGTATAATAGAAACTAATGACACAAATAATTGGCTAATTGCTAAGAGCTTGTTTTTGCCTCCTCCCCCTTCCATCATTTTAGGGGGGTAGCAATTCTTGGTTGAGATAGTGGCATTGGGTAAATAGTTTTTGCCTTCTTGTCGCTTCTTACATAAAAGTTATCATCTTGATAACGAGAGACTGTCTTGGGATGTTCAGTTCAGGAGGCATTTTCAAGATTAGGAGATCGAGGATGTTTCTCGTTTTCTGGAGCTGTTGCATAGCCAGGTGTTTTCTTTTGGGGAATCGGATTGGTGGTTCTGGATTCCTAACTCGCATGGCCGTTTTGAGGTTAGGTCCTTTTTCGGATGCCTTTTGGTTGGTCATGGAGATCCCTTCCCTTGGAAGTCTATATGGCGGTCAAAGGCTCCCCGCAAAGTCGCCTTTTTTGCTTGGACCTCTGTTCTGGGTAAGATTTTAACCCAGGATAATCTGAGGAGGAATCAAGTGGTGGTCAATCACTGTTACATGTGTTTGTGTAATGAGGAGTCTGTTGATCACCTCCTTTTACATTGCAGCATGGCCTCCTTTTACATTGCAGCATGGCCAGAGACTGTTGGGATTTGATGCTTCGATTATTTGGGGTCCATTGGGCCATGCCTTATTCCTCTAGAGGGTTAATTGAGGCTTGGAGAGGCGTCTCTGTTGGGGCTGGCATTAGGGACGCTCGGAGGACTACGCCGCTTTGTATCTGGTGGTGTATTTGGCTTGAGAGAAATAGGAGATATTTTGACGGAAAAAAGAAGCCTGTTTCTATGCTTAAGTTCTCTGTTATTTCTACTCTTTTTTGTTGGGTTTCTGGGAGAGATTATAGATCTATGGAGGAAATTATTATTTTCTTGGCCTCTCTGAAGGTCTAAGGCGCCCTTTGGCCCTTTTGTTTCCTTTTGTTTCTTTGGGCTTCGCTCCCCTTTTGAGCGTTTTTAATAAAATCTTACTTATCAAAAAAAAAAATTTAACCTGCCTTTGCCCTTTAATTTTTCTTCTTCAAAGTTCAAGGGAGCTTTTGAATGGATTTTAAAGTATCTCGGATTTGAATGTAACAGTTTTTGCCCTATTGTTTGGGTCATGTTTTTTGCTATTTTTGGGATACATTGGTGCTAGACGCTTGGAGAGGTTGTGTAGTGGGTAGTCAAGTCCGAGATGCTTGGAGGGCAACTCCCCTTTGCTTATAGTGGGGTTTCTGGCGTGAGAGGATTAGGAGGTCCTTTGATAAAGAAGAGCTTCCAAGTCACCAACGATTCATGAGTCTCCCCGCTATATCGGCCTGAATTGGACTCGGCAAAGGCCAAGTCGACTAACCATGTTCTATGCATGTCATAGGACCAACCACTGCTGTAAAATTATCCCACCCAGTATTGTAAATAAATACCACTCAAATTTTGTCAGATTGCTTAGCAACTAATGGTCAGGATTCCAACCCAAGAAAAAATTCAACCAAGTTCAAATGAGAAGTTTTAGGACATTAGAAATATTAACCAAAATAGGAACTTTAGAAAAAAGACAACACTCCTCAAAATAAATAATCTCGTTAGCCAATAAAACCTTCTACCCCCTAGAACGACACAACTACTCCCCACCAAAAAACAGGATAGCTAAGCCCAGTACCAACACTGCTAGCTTGGAAATCAAGCAAAAACCTCATAGGTAAATTACTAATATACCAGTATAATAGAAACTAATGACACGAGTAATTGGCTAATTGCTAAGAGCTTGGTTTTGCCTCCTCCCTCCTCCATCATTTTAGGGGGGTAGCAATTCTTGGTTGAGATAGTGGTATTGGGTAAACAGTTTTTGCCTTCTCGTCACTTCTTACATAAAAGTTGTAGGTAAATTTAACCTGCCTTTGCCCTTTACTTTTTCTTCTTCAAAATTCAAGGGAGCTTTTGAATGGATTTTAAAGTATCTCGGATTTGAATGTAACAGTTTTTGCCCTATTGTTTGGGTCAGGTTTTTTGTTATGTTTGGCATGCATTGGTGCTTGAGGCTTGGAGAGGTTGTGTAGTGGGTAGTCAAGTCCGAGATGCTTGGAGGGCAACTCCCCTTTGCTTATGGTGGGGATTCTGGCGTGAGAGGATTAGGAGGTCCTTTGATAAAGAAGAGCTTCCAATTTGGGGGTTAAAAGACTCCATCTTGAGATCCTATTTTTTTTGTTTACTGGGTGGTAATGTAAATCTTTGGAGGACTTTATGGATTTTGTGGATAGTTTGAGTATAGCGGGCCTTCTTTTGGCATCTTGTGCAGTTCTTCTTTGGGTGCGCTCCCCTTTTGAGCACTTTTTAATGAAATTTTACTTATCCAAAAAATAAAAAAGGATAGTATTGATTGCAAATGTAGTAATAGTATTGAAGTGGAAATAAGTTTAAAACAATTAATAGATAAGCCCAAAGGTCGTCCCCTTCGTTGTATTGGGAGATGCCGTCCATCTCTTCTTTCAAGGAACACAAATTCAAACTGTAGTTATTGTTCCCAGGAAATGCCACAAAAACATGCTAACACACCAAGCATTGGTACTCCAAACTACCACGTAAAAAGGATTATGCTTAAGAGACATTATGCTAAACTTGCCACAGTGTTTGGACCAAGGAGAGTAAACAAAGGAGTTGGATGTATTGGCATTGGATAGGGAAACATTGAACTTTCATAAAAATGTTGGTGAAATAGGGGGGTTAGCATGAAGTAGGTAGGTTGATGAGACATTTGCAGGACATGTCACACCCTGATTGTTATTGTTATGCATGTAAGACAACCAAGCTGCTCAAGCTTGGAAGAAAATTGGCTTGATTAGAGGCTTGTTCTAAATAGATCATTAGATATATGTTTCAAAACTAGATCACATATTGAAACTCATTAATTGTTAACTTTTTGAATTGAGATCTAGCAACCAAAAACTTGGTTCAACTTGGCTCGATTATAGCTTTAGTACCTTTTGCTTTATCATGGGTCTCTCCTAGATGGACATACGACCCTTACTTTATATCTTTGTTAATTAATAAAAGAGTAGTGATAACCGAACATTAAAGCCCGAATGAGGAGCTGAACCTGATGTGGCAGCCACGTCATCTCCAGAATTCTTAAATACGCCAGAAGCTAAAAGACTTGGGAAAGTGAAACGCGGTCTCTCTCTCTCTTCCTCTGTGTTTCTCTCTCCTCTCAATTCTTCCTCTTTCTTAGATTCTGGGGCTGTCTCTTTCTCTCCTCGATTTTACAAAAATTGAATCGAATCCAAAAATCATGGTATTGCAGCAGGAGTAGCTCCTGGGTTTTATGCTGCTTATCTGAATAATTTTGTTTGATAAAATTTGTGCTTCTTTTCAGATATCAATGGTTCTGGCCACTTCCATCTCTGCCTCAGAATTAGTAATGGAAATATCAAAGAAGTTATGTTGCGTTTAGTGTGCAGGAATGGAATACCCATTCCAACCATTCTTTTGTTTGGTATGCAATTTAAAGTGGGAATGGTCATTCCATTGGAATGAAAATCCATTCCACAACTAAACCTATGGAATGGTTATTCCATTCCCAAGTTAATTTTTTTTTAAAATCAACTTCCCAAAAAACCCTCATGTTCACCACTACCTTCCACCACAACCACCTCCGCCTTTCACCACTACCATCGCCACCGACTTTCACCATCGCCCACCGATTTCAACCACCACCGCACCACCTTTCACCACTAACACCGCCTTCCTTTGCCGCAACCACCGCCGCCGCCGCCGCCACCTTCCTCCACCGCCACTATTGCCTTTCGCCGTTGCCACCTTCCTCCACCACCACCATTGCCTTTCGCCGCTGCCACCACCTTCCACCACCACTGCTACCACCGCCACCACCTTCCACCACCACCGCCACCGCCTTTCACCATAGCCACCATCTTCCGCCATCACCTTCCACCACCACCACTACCGCTTTTCACCATAGCCACCATCTTCCACCACCACTGCCACCGCCACTGCCTTACACCACCGCCTTTCACCACCACTACCTCCTTCCACCACCGCCTTCCACCACCGCTACCCCTTCCATTGCTATTACCTTCCACCGCCACCACCTTACACCACTGCAGCCACCGCCTTCCACTACCACCACTGCTGCCACCGCTGCCACTACCTTCCACCACCACCACTACAATCGCCTTCCACCACCTTCCACCGCCACCGCCACCGCCACCACTGGCTTCCACCACCATCAATCACCTCCATTGGCTTCCACCACCGCCACCTACATCACTATCTCATTCCACCACCGCCACCACACTACTGCCACCTCCTTCCACCACCACCACACTACTGCCACCATTGCCACCGCCGCCAATGCCTTCCACTATTGCCACCGTCGCCGCCTTCCAACACCACTACCGCTTTCCACCTCCACCACCATCATCACCACTAACCACCACCGCCACTGCCACCATTTATTTTTAAAAAATTATTAGAGAATGTCATTTTGTTAATTTAATTTATTTGTTACTAAGAGGGGTATTTTGGAGAATTCAATTTGAAATTTATTCCATTCTAAATTTTAAATTGGTCCAACCAAACACTATAATGGTTATTATCATTTCATTCCCACTTGCATTCCATTCCATTCCATTCCTCCACACCAAACGCAACATTAGATTCAACCACGAATGCCTTCAACATTTTTACAGCAAAGTGCTTAGCAGAAAGAAATATAACAAAACACATTTTCCACAAAAGTCAGTCGTATTTTTAATTTCATTGTAGTTAATTGGGATGTTATATTGCCTAGAACCAAGGTGGTTAACATGCACTATTCTTTCAAGGTCAGCATAATCTTCTTTGAAAACTTATGTAGCAAGAAAAAAATTCAGATTAGGGCCGAGATGAAAGGGCTTATTTAGATTCAAATGGAAGATTAGGACTGCATGTGAAAGCAAGATACGAAATCAAAGAGAGGGAAGAGATGAAAAATGCAGATATAGAAGAATTGTTAATGCTCTGTACCGCTTCGATTTTGTGAAATCTAAGAGAGAAACACATACAGCTTGATCTGTTACCAGAGAGAGAAGAACGAGGAAGAATTCATGAACCAGAGGAAGAGATAAGAGATAAGAGATAAGAGAGAGATGCAGAGAAGAATGAGGAAGAATCCTTGAACGCCTATGATCTGTTACAAACATACATGTATATTTGTGTGTGCATATATATATATATATATATATATATATATATATATATATATATTTCTCATTATTCTTAATAAAAATCTCTATTAAAAATAAAAAAGAAACTGCAACATTAACTCAAAATCAAAAATTGGCCAAAGCCAACATATTCAAGAGAATCAACATTACAAAAAATAACAGGCCACAACCCTCCAAACATAATGAAAAACTGACAGCAAGGCAGCTAAAAGGAGGGGTGGAGTAGAGGGTTCTTTTCTTGTTATTGACAATTAAAAATAAATAAATAAATAAATAATAAAAATAAAAATAAAATATTACAACTTTTAAAAGGAACACATACCATCGTATGGGGTGTCTGGAGCACGACAAACGCATTCCTTGATATCACTGACAATTGCCCTCTGTGTCAAGAAAAGAACATTAGTAGAAAACAACAGGGATGCAACAACTGAAAAAAGGGGATCATATCAAATTGCACACCTGGGAGTAGAGTTTGTAACTTTCTGTTGTGTTTGGAAACTCAAGATCCAACGTCTGTGAGATTCATAAATGAAATGAAATGAGAGAGACAGATACCAACTGAATTAAAGTAGAGAGCTCTGTTGTGACAAAAAGCATCAGAAGGAAAACATAGCGTGCATTTCAGCGACAAACATAAAATATTTAAGTAACATCACTAAAGTAATGAAAATTGCTGAACATAACCACGCTGGCAAATGACAAACACAAAATTTAGACAAAGTATTAAAACTTGCCACCCCTAGGTCGTAGGTTACAAGTTATAACTTGTAGCACAACCATAGACTATTATACGTGCCAAATTTCTAAAAGAAACCAGACTATTTCCTTTTCCTTTGAAGAGAAACCGGATTAAATGAAGGACGATTTTCTCAAATATAAAGTGCCACTGTCAAGAGATAAGCATATATACCACCTGAAACTCTCCTGACCGTATTTCCTTTCTTTTAAAAGAATATCGTGGTTTTACCTGCAATAAAAAAATAAGAAAATATTTACACAAAATAGTCAAATACTTCAGACAATTAAATCACCTCTTTAGAGTGTTGTCATAAGTAGCGGCTTACAGTGAGGCCTTTGCTTTCCAAGCTTTTCATTAAGCAATCAGTAAGAAGTTCTCCCCCAACAGGTGAAGATGCTACAGCCTAATGTCAAAAATAATAACACGTCAGGGTAAGGGAAAAGAAACGGGGTAGCCACAAGTCCATCTTTTTAGACCTTAACAAATTAAGAACGAGATATTACATACACCGATTTAACATCTTTGAAAATTCTCATACTATGAAATAATTAAGGCATTGGGAAGATAATAATTTTGAGGCCAATCCAATAGCATTACCATGTAACATGGATGCAGAAATAACTGAGATCAGATGTGTAAAAGTGACAAATTTTTGAACCCTGTAAACCCACACCTGACTCTTAATCTCAAGCATTGGTGGATCATGTTGAGGGTTACCTTTTTTGCCTTTTTTGGTAGGGGGCAGAGGTTGGCCCCTCAGAAGAGAGAGAAAGGGGTGAAAACTCTGAATAACATAAAGGCCACCAGACAGTTTGCTTAGTCCTGTCGTGGCATTATGTCAATTCTGTTTTAATTTTCTTATTCTTGCCATTCCCCTAATTTCAAACATCATAAATTTTCATTTAGCCACATTCCAAACTTCCATTCTCATTTTTTGACACCCAAATCAGGCTATTTCCAACATTTGCTTAAGATTCATGTTCTTTCCGGTCCACGTGAACGGTGAACCCATTTCTAAGCTATTTTAAAATATGCACTTATAAAAGCATTGAGAAAATATTAATATATTATTTAAAATATATTATAAAAAAGTATTATTCTTTTAGTAATTTTATTTGCTGCTTAAGAATTTTTGGTTATTAAAAAGAATTCATCTTTAAACTAATAGTCACTAAAATGGTTACATAATTCTACTCAACTAAACTTCTTATAAATAGAACAGCTAGTTGAGAAAAAGAAAAAGGAAAAAAGAAAAAAAGAAAAAAAAAAAAAAAATCATAAGAGAAGACCTTAACTTTTGTGATGTGAAAATATTAGGCTAATTTAATGAAATAATTATTTTGAACTAAAGAGACCTTAACCCTGGAACCCTCAAGAAAATTCATGGGTCTGCCGCTGATACCAAAAATCATGAAACACAAGAGTACACCTCTTTTCTGATAGATAATGCTAAGTAAGATCAAACTCAAAGCATACTAATAAACTTATCAGGAAAATATATCCTTAAAACCATAAAAGGAGAAACAATGAACTGAAATTCCACTTTCAAAAGCTACAAGTATAATATATCCCATATCAAGTGAAGTAAAAAGGAAAGATCTGAGGATTAAAGAACAAAACCCAAATCCAAGGATGCACTAGCACACTCCAGATAGTTATTTTTTTAGACGGGAGAAACAACACCAAATCCAAGAGAAGAAGAACAGCACCAAAAAAATATATTGAGAAATATTCTTCCAGTTAAGTTTGAGATGAAGGATAAATTTTTATAATAATACAGAAATACAAAATGATTTTAAACTACACAAAATTTAAGTTTACTTTTTATACATGCATATATATAGTCATAATGCTAGTTCCTTCATAAACCCTCCAAGTATGAGATTTCTGAAGAAAACTAATTAATTCGATGTTCAATACTAGTCCAATTTTCAACCTATTTCATGTTACATGTAATAGCTATATGTGTACATGTAAAAGTAGCAAGTTGAACATGGTGTGTAAAGTATGAGAATTGATATATGTGTACATGTAATAGCTAACAATAAAATATGATAAGAAACTCTAATAAACAAAAAAGAATCTTTCCTTCTTCTTTTTTCCTGACCAGTATAAAAGAATCCACTTTTTAAATTAGAACTGGTATCCAGCAAATAAGAAATCCACTTAGCTTTTGTAAGATAGACAAGGATCATTCCAATCACTGTCAGAGCCTAGATTTCTAAAGGAATGTCTGGGAAAAGATGAGAAGAATAGTTTATATTGATAAAGACTTGTTACTGCTGAGAGAGGGCTGCCCTTTATAATAACTTCTAGTAACTCCTGATTTCTCCTAGAATGACTTTTAGAATCCTCACACAGTATTAATTAACACTTTTACCACTTCCATGCGCTATCACTTAGTAGTTCCAAACCTTAATTAATACTTTTCATAGTTATAAGGATGAATTTGACTTCATTAAACAACAAAACACTTTTGAAGGCATCATTCTTATTTGGATCACTTAAGCGCATGGTTAAGAAAATTTAATCAAATAAATACAATGTTCAACTTAAATAAACGCCAAGCAATCTTTTCACTTGGTCAAGAGGGATACCTTTTGAAGAACATAACCATCATGTACAGGGGCAACAATAGTTGATCCTCCACCACTGAATCAGTTGATAATTGTAACACAGTTGATTAGTGTCAATATTAGCAAGTAAACAAGGAATTATTAGAAAACAAGGTAATCAGTATCTCAGAACTGCAAAGTGGATTCAGAAAATCACAGTTTCATATTGCAACTAAGATTACTTGTACTATAATGCCAGCTTCAAAGTTATATTTAATAATTTAATAAAATAATTCAAGGATATTACTAGCAGGTTGGATGTAAATAACAAGGGCAAAGTGGTTAAATCTAATTCCATGAAGCACATAGAATTGTCAATACTCACAAGTCACAAGACAGTACCAGAAATGCAATGCAAATATGTTACAACAACCACCGACAACCAAGAACAAATCATGAATCACGACAGAAAAGTAAACACGCCACACAAAAAAAAAAAAAACACAAATATTTACGTGGTTCGGTACAAGTAGTAGCTACATCCACGGAGAAGGTCCGGTGAAAGAGTTCACTACGCGAAAATCAAGAGATTACAAGTTTCAGCCCCCAAACTTTTTCCTGCGATTTTCAGTGTTCTCTCGTTATTCCACTCCAAACCCTAAGTGCCCTTATATACCAGGCTACAAGAAAGTTTTAAACAGGGTCCATGTCCCGCAAGTGAAAACGGGTCAAACCGGTTCCAATCAAAATCCGGGCCACAACATCACTATACATATAGAGAAATTACTTCGACAAGAAGGCATGCATTAGTAGATAAGATGACCCAACAAGTAATTACAAAGAGAGTGATCATTGGCTAGTTTATAAACTCCTACCTATCCACAACTAAAGAGGTTGCACGTCCTGACGCAAAAGATGTGAGAACCTGGCAGTAGCAAATAGCTCAGTTAGTCGTACCAAATGACAAATTGTAATGATCTCATAAAAGGTATAGAAAAAGATCAGATGATAAAATGATAGATTTTCAATTTGCATCGAAAAAATCGACTGGCAACAAGTCAGTGTTACAAGATGGACTAGGTAGCGTACAGCATTCTTTGCCAAAAACAATGCAGGAACCTTGTACTTTTCAAACATAAGCTCTGCTGTCCTGTCAAATATGCAACCAGTTAAATTCCAATGCTAAACATAAAACCATAAGCTACAAACTAATATAAAAATAAGGTTGGGTTGACTTGAGTAGGCAAATCAATTATTATCAAGATTAAAACAATAACTAAATTCCGGCAATTAAAATATAGTGCAACCAATAATGAAAGAAGAGATCTATAAAACAAGATATCTCTTTGATCATTTTTCACATTTAGTATCATTACAACCAAACAATGTGCTCGATCCATAATTTTGTGATTTTGTATGAAATTCAATCACATTTTGCATAAAACGTTTCAAGATATCATTGTCATATTTATTTATTTTTTTTGTCCAGTGGGAACAAGAAAAGAAATTTAGTGATATGGTTTAGATGATTGCCAAAGAGGAGATACTTTCAACAGTTGATATACGATCTGCAGTGATTCGAGAGAGAGGGGGGGAAGGGGGAGGAGACTTGTGGGAGTTAAATAATTGTCACTCATGCTAATCTGCTGAATGAAATGAAATGACTCGAGTCTCCAGCAGGTCCAATAGAGGTTTACAATGAGAAATCTCAAATCTGGAGATCATTCATCGGCCAATAAAGAGATGAAAGTAAAGAAGAAATCTCAAACCTAGAGGAACTGCTTCAGACACTCAACGTAAAGAAGTTCTTCCAACTAAAATTGACTGCTTTCAGTTGTCAGCTTTGTGGAGCGAAAACATGTTAGAAACGATTGTGACACTAAAAATCAGTTCATTTTTCGTTATATGCTCACAACTATATTTTCCAGAAAATAAACACCAAGAGAACAAAACCTAGAACCCAACTCATCACTCCAAAAGGTGCATCTCAAATTGTCAATCTTGCAACGTGGATTACAGGAAGAAAAAAAAAATTCATGTAATTCTGTCTTCACTAGTTATTAATTAGTCTATTGACAAGAAATAGCAACAAATTCTAAAACAAAGAAAAACTCTTTTGAGTAACATAAGCAATAATGAACAACTTCTGCGGATGCATAGAGATATTATCAGCCTAGATGAATTCGGTCTAACAATAATATCATAATTGCCATGCAAATCAGAAAAAGATAATGTAGAAACAAAGTTGCAAAGAGGTGGAGGAATTCAGCCACATATATCATCAAACCAATATAAGGGTCTTGCTGCCAGCTCACTTTTCTCTCTGTTGTTGACTGTTAGAGGATGGTTCCGCAAGTAGCATGGGATGCTCTTCAGGATCAATCAATAGGCATTTCCTAAAGATGACAAAGGCCAGCAATAATATAAGACAAGGAATTTTAAAAATTTATCTAAACACAAGATAATAATGTAGTAATAATGGCTGGGAAGAATATAAACACAGCCTTCTAATTGACATAAAACAATATATGTTCCCAGACAAGACTGGTCTTATATCATGCATAGAGATATATCCATAAATCTTAAAATCAGAAAACAGATATATAAATAGATAAATTAATAAAAAGTAGTTTGGGAAAGAAAAGGAAAATAAGATAACAGGTATGATCTCTAAGTAAGGGCTCCTGCGCTTATAGGAGATGAGAACCACAGTGTCCTGTGTCTAAGACAACTGAACCTGCAGCAGCAGAAAAGAGGATAACCACAAATGCATTCGATCCAACACGTCCCTGTACAATACATAATCACCCAATCGTCTCCCAGTAACATGTTTGAACCGTTTACTACGGTACTACTACCTTAGTCCAATGTGTAGGAATCCAAAGACAAGTACACTTACGTGAATACTCTCCTCCCACTACCACAGGCATGCATTTCCCAAGAGGAAAGAGGACAAGAAAAATGAACATAAAATAAAATTATATAAAACCAACTATTAATTGTAGAGGCATAATCTAGACTGAGGTTGACTAAAGAAGGACTGTAAGATGGAAATGTATCCAGTAGCCATAACATAGAAAAAACCTGAAACGGTTTGTTACATTTATAGTTATTATTATTGCCAGAGGGGCGGAATGTGCTTTGAGCGTGCACCCTACCTTACATTATCTCTTCCGCTTTTTTGCATAATTATCCATTATTTTGTCACCCCAGAAATTTGATCGATAGTGTTAGTTGAGAATGTGGCACAAGTGGACTTGATAAATCACCTTTTAGTCCATTTTAAGAACAAGAGAATGAACATTCTAGGAAGAACATTAAGTAGTAAACCTTTAGTCCAGTTCTCCTCTATAAAATCCTAGTGACCTGGTGATTGTATCCAAAACTTAGGGGAAGTGACTGGATAATTATGCAAAATATATACTTGTGGTAAATTGAATAACTAATAAAATTTAGTATTAAATTATAAAAATACAGTTGATGGCATCTCAAAACCGGACAGGTCATCCAAATCCCAACCAGTTTATGAATGGGTTGGTAGTTTGACAAGCCAAAACTTGCCACTCCTAAAATCATTTTAGTATTTCTAAATATTATCTTTTAATTGAAATCATTTTAGTATTTCTACATATTATCTTTTAATTGAACTACATAGCCTATTGTGGTGAGTGGATTATTAGTCTAACAAGACAATCTAGATGGATATTCCAGATCCTGCAATATTTGAGTTTCATGTTGCTGAATGAAAGAAGGGTTTCAGCTCACAAGATTCCGTTCAAACAAAGGGATTAACTAAATACGACTACCAGGATTCTCAAATTTTTCCATTTGGTGGATAAGCTACAAATTTAAATTTATTTTTCTCCTTTTTTTGTGGTAAGCAAAATCTAGAGATAGAGTGCAAGATGGGAGCACAAATCATCCATTTTGATTATTTCGTTTGCCAACCATCCTAAGATGAGTGAATTTTAAGGAACTGCTTTTAGAAAATTGTAGGAGTAGTGTAAATGGAAAGTGGGGAAAGGGGAAGGGGTTTGCATATTGAGTAATACAGTGTTAAAATCCATGTATCACCTTCTCAAACCTCATATACTAGGATACTTTGGTCCTTTGGGTTTATCATATTATAGTTGTATTCCTTCATAATCTACTGAGGATGATGTTCAAGGAAATATTTTATATAGTTAATTTTTTGTGGCATGACCAGCATATTTGTCTTGACAATCAAAAACAACTATTAAAATTTATTCTAAAAAAGTTAAACACATCAATACATCATGTATATGGACACACACACTATAAGTATATCCACGTGCAAGGCTATATTTTAGGGAGTTTCCAAGTCAGAGATCCTTATTTATGTGAAAGTGTAAAACTAGTACTGGTGCACAATCCTCATCATGGAACTTACTAAGATTTCCAGGGCGGTGACTGCAAAAATATGGGGAAACCATTTGAGAGATTAGTAAGTGGCTAAACAATTAATGGAAGTCTGCGACACTAGTGTGTTGTTGCACAAGGGAACTGTGAAATTTGAAAATATAGTTCTTCACAGTTTCTCAAGATTATTCAGGACCAATAATAATAAATAAATAAAAACAGGAAGGAAATTTGCCCAGGTTAAAGATGACTAGAAGAAAACGTATTGTGGACAGTGAGACTAAATAATACTTTGAGTAGAGAATTTAGTAGAGAAAGATCCAATACAAAAGGTTTCAAACTTCATTTGGTATAAAAATGTTGTACTTGCTCCATGAACTTGGTCGTAAACCACGGGTTTCTGCCCCCGTAAAGACTTGCAAGGAAATTTTCCCAGGTTAAAGACGACTTGAAGATAACGTATTGTGGACAGTGAGACTAAATAACGCTTTTGACTAGAGAAGTTAATAGAGAGAGATCCAATACAAAAGGTTTCAAACTTCATTTCGTATAAAAATGTTGTACTGGTTTCATGAACTTGGATGTAAACTACGGGTTTCTGACCCCATAAAGGCTTGCACGGTTCTTATTATTGGCAACTTGTATAAAGAAGTCGCCATAAGCATTAGTCCGCGCTTCCTTACAGTTCCAAGATCACAGAGAGATCAACAAATCATGTTTACTTGTAAAACCATTAAGTCATGCTAGGGCATTCTGGTTCCATGAACAGGTTTAACGAGAAAAATCTTAGATATGTTCTCACTTCAAAACATTGCAAACTTCTTTTCTGCAAAATGAAAATTCTCAAGAAGGGAATGAATAACTGGAAAAAGGACTACTTATCAAAGCCAAAAAACAAAGAGAGAGCCAGAAAGAAGGAGGGAAGAGAATTGAAAAAAGGACTACTCGGGTTGGTTTTGGTCAAGATGAAAATGATGGAGAGTGAAGTATATGCTTCCCTAAAGGCTATGATGATAAATTCCCTTACATTTGAATAGTGTGTAAGTTCCACTAGAGTACAAGGATATCTCTGTTTCTCTTGTGCATCCTCCCCCATAGTGTTTCCAGATAATTTCATGGAGAACTTTTACTTCTCTAGTTTTTTTTTTTTTGGTAAGTAATAATAACAGAAAAAGGCGTTCAAAAGGGGAATGCGTCCCTTATACAAATGTGGAACCGGGGCTAAGGCCCCAAAGAATCCAAAAAAATAATAATACCATCAGAAGAGGAGCAAGAACTCCTCTTCACATAATTGAAAAGAGAACGAAGAATGTGAAGTTTCACCAGTGCCGTAGACGACTCTTTCCCTTCGAACATTCTACTATTTCCCTCCTTCCAAATGCACCACCATACACAATGTGGGACATTTACTTCTCTAGTAAACACAAATTTTACTTCCCTCCACATTTCTCACTCTAACACAACAGAGATCGAGAGGAAACTAAATCAAGTAAAAATGTTCCCCATAATGACATTCAGATATTAATAGTTGAAAGGAACTGACAAAACTATCCCTATTTTCATATGAAAAGGTCTCAATAAATGAGAGGCAAGTACGAGAAGTAGAACGAAGAAGAGGAGATGGGATGGAGAAAAAATAAGAATTGGTTCAGGAGAACTTCAAACCATTTCTACAGTAGTATTCAGCTGAGCTGCAGGCATCAAACTTTAAAAAGTAACAATTATCTCTAACAGGGCATCAACTTAACCAAAAAAAATAAAAAAATCTCTAACAGAGCATCTAACAATTAAAAAGCAAGAGGTGATTACGAACACGGTAATGAACAAGTACATTAACTATCAATTACCTTAAGGCATGGTCCCATATGTTGTCAACAATGTCCCAATCGACAATAACTCCATCCTTTATGGGTGACAGCACCTGATCAAAAAGCATAATGCATGATGGAAACAGTATAACATGAACTATTGGGAATACATCCCATAATCTTGACTAATATAATAAAAAATAATAATAACTAACCTCCATATGGTCCCGGCGGTATCCTAAGGCTTGAGATCCTACATATAATTTGCGCTTTCCCTTGGATTTGTCTGAATCAAATGTCTTAACAACGTTCTTAGAATCTGGAACAGATCCAGAATTCCTTTCGGCATTATCAGAGTCATCAACATCCATTTGATCAATTGATCCAACAACCTTTACATGGATACGTATAAGGATCAACACATAAAAATAATATTAAAGAAAAGAAAGAGGATGAGAAATGCAGGATATTATCTATTGTTGTGTGTGTATCAAAAATAATACTGCACAAATGGGATAGAAAATGAAAGCTGATCCTTCACCATAGAAATTTAAAAGAATTCAACAGGACAAGTTACAAGTTTCTGATCAAGATGTAATATGAGATAATACAGGACCTCGATTGCATAATTTCCAAATCACAGCAGTGATAATGTTGCATATTAATGTAGATAATTACTAGCCCAGATTAATAACAGCGGGAACTTCTAAAGTTGATTTTTTGTCGATTGGCAGGTCCACTGCATTCAAAACACATAGGCACAATGCAGGTGACTTGTCACAAATTTGCATGATGCGCAACAACTTCCACACGTCACTAATCTATAACTCCAACCCATCCCCTCACCCACCCCTCCCAAAAAAAAATATTACAGCTGATATCATCTCATAGGAAATCCATGATTTCATCTTAACACTCCTAACTTCTCTCAACAAATTTCCAAATCCCATCCTAAAGAACGACCACCATTTAACTATAAGTACTATAATCAAATGGACAAGAGTTCCTTAATCAAAATAACAGTTTCTCCCTTCAATAACTCATTTCAGCAAAGTCAAATCTTTCTTCTGAAGTATTCAGTGATCCCATCGCTGTTGGGTTTTATCTCATGAGCTCCACGAAGAGGGAAAACAATGAATGAGGCCAATCTTCTGCAGCTACAACTCAAATCACCCAAATTAACATCTCACATTCACTTGCACAAAAACGTTCCAAGCCTTCCACAAACCTACAGTAACGCGAGCCTCTGATTCGACTTCATCCAAATGACACTCAATTGTTCATCATCATACATGACTACTTGTACGTACCACTTGTACGTACCACACAAAAATACAGCTGTTCTCAGTGAACCCCTTTTGTGTCTTTTTTTTATCATTTCATCCCTATTGCGACTAATAAAAAATGAGCCAATCAATTAATTCAAAAAATTAACAATACTTAGAAGCTCGGAAATGCAAATTCAAAACTTTTACCAAATGACTTCTCAATTCCAATAAACAGTGCCAAAAAATCATCTTCTAGAACTACATTGCGGTTCATCTAAATCAAAACATGAAAGTACTTCAATTTCTAAAAAGAATGGAGCGAACGTACAGAACGGAACACAGCTTTGGGCGCATCTTCGCCCGCGTAACCTGCTTTACAGGTGTGCGAACCCAGGTCTATGACTATTGCAGATACTTCATCTGTCACACAAGCAACAGTAAGATTGAATGAATACAAGTTACATAGACACAGAAATACACAAATATGTGTGTACATATGAATGTGTGTATATATAAGTGTGGTTGATGTGTGATACTCACCGCCGCCGTACATGTTTGGAGTCCAGGAAAGCTCCGATTGAGAGGCTTCTTCTTCTTTCTTTTTACTTTCTCTCTCTAGATGCTCGCTCTCAGTGGCTTTGTTGGGGTTTTTCAAGTCCCCTGGCGAGAAGAAGGATGATTTCGCGTTGGGTATGGTTTTTCAAGTACTTCCTGACCCGGCTTGTTTATAAACAAACCTGGGTTTGATTTTTTTTTTTTTCATGGCAAGAAACAGGTTTGAAATTACATGCTTGAAAATAAATCTTTTTTTATTTCATTGCCATGGTGCATATGTCTTCTTCGTTTTTTTTTTCCTAAGTCATAGCGGATATATCTATCTATCTCTCTCTCTATATATATACTAATAAACCTGTATTAGCAGTAAAATCTAATTTAAAATTAATATTTAACAAAATAATTATAAATTCTAAAATATTCATCAACATAAAATTGACACAAGATAAAAGAGATAAAAATTTAATTTTTAATTGAACTTTACAGTAGGAATTCAATTATTGATTGGTATATTTTCAAACTCCTAAAATAATATCAAAATCAATACTATTTTTTATTAGAATTTAGTAATATTTTATTTATTTATATGTTATCTATAAAATTAGAAAAGATGTGGAGACTAAATAAACTAAGTTATTTATATTTTTTATATATTTCCTCGTCTAATTAGAAAGACTAAATTATTTATTTTCTTTATATATTTTCTTATCTAATTAGATTTCCCTATTAACAAAACTCGTAATAAATAAATAATTTGAGTTTTATAGAAACTATTCTGTACACCTCGTATTAATTTTAAAATAAAAACTCATAGTAAATACTATAGGTAATTTGTGTTATTCTAAAAGGAAACACGAACTTATAAATTTATGGGTAAATTGCATTAACACCCCTTGAGATTTCGGTCAATGTCACTCAAATGTGGGTCAACAACTTTTTGAACAATGACACCCATGTATTTTGAAATGTCATATTTGCTCCTAGTTATTTAATTCAATTAATTTACAAAATATATGTTAATTGATGAAACTACCCTCGTCATTAAGCCTTTTTCTCCACCCTAATCGCTAACCTTTCTTCTTTTCTTTTATTTTTTTTCATTTTAGTACCTATCCACCGACACTCTTTATCTTCCCAATTTCTCTCATTCCTCTATTTCTTGCTATGTTAACTTTTTATTGTTGATTTATTTATTTGTAAATTGCACCCGTCGTTATTCTCGTCGATGGAGGAGTTACCGATGGAGGGAAACATAACTAGTGGCGAAGGAGATGGTGGTTAGGGCAAGTTAATTAGCATAATTTTTTTTTTGGGGGCGGGGGGGGGGGGGGGATTTGGGGTTGAGATAACTAAGGAAAGTAAAGTGGGTGTGAGAAGAGATAAGATAATTAGTGGAAATGGTGAGATAAAAATAGTTATTGCTCGTTTTTTTTTTTTTTTGTTTTTTTTTTTTGTTTATACTCCGTTGGTGGTTGTTGTAGTGTTGTTTAGGTGTGGTTGTAATAGTTATGGTAGTGTCTAAGTTATCAGGGTGTTTCAAAAATTTTATTTTATTTTTTTCTATTGTTGTGGTGGTGGTGGTTCTAGCAGCATCCAAGTGTGCTTGTCTTGAGTGGTGGTGGTGGTGGTTCTGGCAGCATCCAAGTGTGTTGGTCTTGAGTGGTGGTGGTGATGGTTTTGTTGTCTTGGTGTAGTAGTGGTTTTGGTGGCATTTGTGACATATAAGTATGGGTTGGCCATGGCGTTTTTATTTATTTATTTATTATTATTATTTTCTACTGTGGTGTTTAGGTGTCCGGTTATTTAAAAAAAATAAAAAAATAATCTTTTTTATTTTATGTTGTGGTGATGGTTATCGTGGTATAAACATTGCTATATATAAACTATATCTCTATATGAAAATAAAAGATGAATAGATTAGTTTGGTCCATATATTAAATTTAGTTGGGAAGTTAAATTTGTAATTTCATGATTTAAATGGAGTTATTGACAAGTTAAAGGATTAAAAGGTAATTTCATATGTTTATTTGGAGGGGATGTCAATGTACATTTTTGAAACCTCAGGGAATATAAAAAAATCCATTGACAGTTCGCTAAGTGTAGTTGACCAAAACCTAAATTTACCCTAAATTTATTTTTACGGACCCTAAATTTATTTTTAAAAATTAAAGCAATAAAACACATTAATGTACTAAAACTCTTTCTACTTTTTAAATAATACATACATATGTAATATATATATATATATATATTACATTATCTAATTCGATTTCTTTATTAAAATAACTCATAATAAATTGATAATTTGAATTTTATAGAAACAATTCTAAGTAGGTAATAGGAGTTTTATATAAACTATTCTGAACACCTATATCAATTTTAAAATTAAAACTCATAATAAATAGATAATTAGTGTTATTGTAAAAGGAAATATAAACATATAAATTTATTATGAAAATATAATGTACCGAAGCACATTGTACTTTTTAATATTAGTATATATAGATATAGATATGCTACGCCTATATTTAAATTTATACTGGCATTAAAAATTTATAAATATTTTATTTAAAATAATTAGAGCTTTAAAAGTAAGGGGTTGGACTTATGCCATGTTTGATGTGAGTGAATGGAATCAAATGAAGAGTGAATGGAATCAACTGAAGTGTGAATGAAATGTTTTTGTTTCCATTCTTTAATTTGGTAACTAATTTTAAAGTTGGAATGATGGTTCTTGCTCATTCTCCGAGAATAGTGATTGACACTAATTCATTTCACTTTCCACTAAGAGAATGACCATTCCATTCCCACTTTAAAAATAATAATAACAAATAAATGAATTAAAAAAAATATTTGATGAAGCGTCGGCTACACACACACATATACACATATATATGTTTTACAAAAATATGATGTTTTTCTATGCAACCAAACATAGAAATGAGAATGATTCCATTCTATTTTATATTCTAATACACTCAAGCGGGTCTCACTTAAAAGCATCCTGCTAAATGCCTTCCACTCCAACTCTTCTATTTTCTTTATATATTATTTTAATAAACTATATTATTCAGAGAGTTATTTATAAAAATTAGACCGCTATTTCTAATAGACATAACTCTTAAGACTAAATTAATGTTATTAATAATTTTCTTCATAAATGACACAGCGGTTAGCATCTTTTTTTCGAAAGAATATAATCATTTGAATTTAAATTAAATTATCATTAATATATATATTTTTAGAATATTAAGCAAATGTATTGATCGTAATGAGAAGCAGAAAGTCTAGAATGGACCAGGGCAAAAAGTTGGGCCTATGGTCCATTACAAAAGAAATTACAAACCGTTGACCATTCGGCCATATAGAACAAAAAGTGCTGGCTCTAAAAAACCCAATAACTCAGCCCACTGGTTAGCCCAATACATTAAAATTCCAACTATACTTCTTCTCCGGAGAGTCGAGCTATCAAATCTGGCAGGGTGGAGCTTCGCCGCATCTGGTGAGGAGGTGGCGCAATGAGGACAAAAGGAGGTGTGGCGGTGTTATCCGAGTGATAAAAAATGAGGCCTTAAGTGCCCCTACTCTTTAATCTTATGTTCGAATCTCCTTTTTCTTAACTTCACTACTTACTAACTTTCGTCAAAAAAAAAGAAAAAAAAATTATAATAATAATAATAATAATAATAAGGACGAAATGTTCCAAAAACTATGGCCACGCTATGCAGTCAAAGTTCAAACCGTCTCTTTTGGAATCGGAAGAAGCCTTTCTCTGATGCAATTGTAATGTTCAGGAAGAAAGTGCTATGAGATTGAGTTGCAGATTTCCTTAAAGATCCTAGAAAATGTATGTGGTGAAGAGATCGGTGCAAGAATTAGGAAATGAAATGTAATTTTAGTTTTCAACTTTTCATGTACGTTTTTTTTTTTTTCCTAAATGTTTTCATATAATTTTTTTAAATTTTTTTATATACATGCATTTTTATGAGTTTGACTATCCCCAATTAAATTGAGAAATTTGCCTCCATTTGCTAAGTAAAATGTATTTTTATTTTTCATATATGTTTTTTATATTTCTAAATTTTTTTATACACTAATTTTCACACCTAGATTCCCGTCCTATTTGGGAAGTGTGTGAGCTTGGATTTTGTGGTAATTCCCATTTTGCTGAAAACTGAAAACTCTCTTTCCATTGGGAGTCTGGTAAGATTTTATCAGTTTCATCGCCAGAATGGAATTAATCTAATGTATCAAGACAAGAACCATGTATCTCCATTGCCTCAGCCACTATGTAAGAACAAATCGGTTTCTTAATTTTTATACGGTTCCTCAAGAAGTATATGTATTCTTTTTCATACATGACAATTCTGCTTTCTATTTTTTTACAGATGTAATGATAGTTTGGCGTTGCCCCTACTATTTTTTATTTTATTTCTACTACATTTCTAATCAGTGTCTTAATAAAATATTTTTAATAAGGACATTACTAAAATTTTAGTAAAACTCTTTACACACTGTGGGTGTCACTTATCAGACGCTAATGTGGCACGTTGACAAGTCAATACAACCCTGGCTAAGTCCCCTATGACAAGTTGAAAAGTCAAAAACCTCGAAAGATCGAGCACTTTAAGCCCTGGTATCGCTTCAGGCACTCAAGCCTCGAAAGAACAAATCTCGAGCACTCTAAGCCCTGGCATCGCTCCAGGCACTCAAGCCTCGAAAGATCAAATCTCGAGCACTCTAAACCCTGACATCGCTCCAAGCCCCTAAGCCTCGAAAGATCAAATCTCGAGCACTCTAAGCCCTGACATCGCACCAGACCCCCAAGCCTCGAAAGATCAAATCTCGAGCACTCTAAGCCCTGGCATCGCTCTAGGCCCCCAAGCCTCGAAAGATCAAATCTCAAGCACCCTAAGCCTTGGCATTGCGCCAGGCCCCCCCAAGCCTCGAAAGATCAAATCTCGAGCACCCTAAGCCCTGGCATCGCGCTAGGCCCCTAAGTCTCGAACGATCAAATCTCGAGTACTCTAAGCCCTGGCATTGCTCCAGGCCCTCAAGTCTCGAAAGATCAAATCTCGAGCACTCTAAGCCCTGGCATCGCCCCAGGCTCAGTAAGCGAGGCTGATCTTCGAGCATTCCGAATCCTGGTGTTACGCCAGATGACACCGTCCTGAGAGATCGGAGCTCCTTAGCACGAGATGAGGTAGGATCTCTGTGTTATGGGAGTTCATATTTGGGAAACCTAGGAGGATCTTGGAATGGTGGATGAGAAGTCAAGAAGTGCCTTCGCTCTTAGCAAGGCCCAATTAACAAGATGATGGGATTATACACGTTATGACAGCAAACCTTAAAATCACAATTAATGCTGTGTCAAGCTTGACCAACCGACGGCCAATTAATATTTAATGCCCCTGATTAGGGGAGAAGTGACATGGCAACATGGGACAAGGCTCGAGGAAAGGATTAGACCCTTCAGCCCTCTAAATCTGCATGATTACTCGCGTAATTCGGATTGGGGGTGATGCATGCGAGAAACCATGCATAGAAGGGACCATTGGATAATGACTAATGGAATCTCGATCTATTAATAGCATTGTCCTATGAAGAAAAAGGGGGACTCTCCGAACAAAAAAGGAAAGCTGTCACATTGTATATTGGCCCTACCACCATCTGGATCTGGTTAATTGGTCTTCTTTTCCTCCGTTTACACTAAGCATCTCTTCTGTTTTCCTTCGTATTTGTATTACTGATATCTCTTTTTATTACTATTTTATTATTTAGCAAAAAGAACCCCTACACGCATATTAGTCGCAAAACCTGTCACATTCATTTTCCCCGTCTCCTCACAATGTGCCGGACTTCTTGAATGCGTGTTGTAACAAATTCTCCATCTTTGGTAGAATTTTTACATTCATTAAAAAATATTACATAATAATTTTCAAGTTCTTCTTTTATTTTCTCTTTTTTAATTTTTTTTTTTTGTGACAAAAGGTTAGCTAGTATATTCTTGGCCAATTATCATTAGACACGGAAACATAAAATTTACACATTTTCAACCCAATTACTAACCTGTCCAATGGTGATTTCGCCAAGAACAATAATTCCGGGACTATATATAATTACTCCTCGTACAAGCAAGCACGAAAGGAAGCAAACAGAAAGCAGTAGGAAGGAGCATTTAAGTACAGCTAGCAAAACCAAACCTTTACAGGGAGTTTCAAATATATCAAGAGTCCTACATAAAAATAAAAAATTGATTCTCTGTTCGGCTATTCTTGGAAGTAGGTATATTCTTGAGATGTAGCCAAGATGCGGATGTCCCAATTTCTTTAAAATTTTCAGAGCAATGCTCTTGTATTTCTTTGCAGCCACATGAAGTGGTTAGAATCAGTTCCTTGTTTGAAATACTTGTTTAAACATTTTCGATCAGCATGTCTCAGCTTCTCTTCATCATTGCTTCCTCTCTCTGCTTCCTGATCATCAGTACCTCCAATGGCGGCAAGGACATAGATTCATGCCCTTGGCACATGTGTGGCGACGTTAACATTAGCTACCCGTTTTGGCGAGTAGACACCACAACCTCGAGCCAGCACTGCGGTTACCGGGGCCTCGGCCTCAACTGCTCGAGCTCTGACCAGCTCATCATCAACCTACCCAACAACGACGCTTACAGCGTTATAAATATAAATTATGACAATAACACCCTCATTCTCGTCAATGTCCATGCTACCACCGACCCATACTGCCCCAGGCCGCGTCACAACCTCAGTCTTGACACTTGTACTGTTCCATTGTTTCACTCCCAATCAGATTTGAACGTTAATTTTTACTTCAATTGCAGTGGTTACCCTACAGATGATCCTCCTATACGGTGCTTGGGATTTGGTTTGAACAAGTCTTCCTATGTTTTCGTGGCCGGAACAGAGCCTAACGTTAATAATTGGTACGATTACTGTGAGGAGAAAGTGGTGACAACTGCGATGGAGAACCCGATGATCCAAAATATTTCTTCTGTGTTCACGAGTATGGTTGTTTGGGTCATGAACAACGGGTTTATGCTCAATTGGGGGACGGTGAAAGAGTGCGGTGCGTGCGAGGCGTCTCACGGGCGCTGTGGCTACGACAACTTGACTAGAGAGTTGTTGTGCTTTTGCCCCGATGGCACCACTCAAGGACAATACTGCAAAAAAGGTACCTTCTTTTCGTTAAATTTTACTCCTGCGTTTGATTAACATGGTATTTTGTTTAAATAGACCAACATTAGCCACCCATTTTGAATAGTGATGGACTTTGAGAGGCTGATGGGCTTTAATTTGTGTGGGTTATTTTAAAAAATTCTAAAAAAATTGAAAAAAAAAAAAAAAAAAAAAAAAATTCAATGGGGCAAATTATAATTTTTGTGGAGGTATGTTCATAAACTTTCAAAAAATTAAAAATAAAATTACAAAAAAGTAATTCTAGTGGGGGCGAATTGTAATTTTAGTGAGAATATATTCATAAATTTTTAAAAATTTGAAATATAAAATACAAAAAAAAAAAAATCCAGTAGTGGGTCCGTGCATGTGAAGGCCTTTTTAACATGTAAATATGGAATAGAGTAATGGACTTATTTATAAAATTCACTACGATTTTTTTTTTTTTTTTCATTTTTTTTTTTTTTTTTTTTTTTTTAAGAATCTCTGTATCAATCCCACCATTATAATATTCGCTATATTCCATTTCACCATCTGAATTTCACTTTTTTATTTTTTTAACTTTTGTATTCAATCCAAACACAACTGTTTTTGGACTAAGCTACAATCTGCCCGTTAATTAAGAAAAGAAAAATGATATTTAAGCCTAACAAAACTAACGTGCTTCCTTAACCAAAGGGTTTGTGAAGCCTTAAATTAGATGAATGTTGAATCTATGTTTTAGTCCCACTTGGATGCATGGAAGGGATGCATTTGGCCCACCATTTTAGTTGAAATGATCAGGGCTTGTGTAGCATAACTCTTAATTTTTTTAAAAAACAAACTAAATATATGATTCATTAATCAGTTGCTTTGGTTTCTCTCAAGGCCGATCCAGATGACTGCAATGTTTTTGCTGCAGGTTATAAATGGACCTTACGAAGGATTTTGACAATAGGTACCATACTCTTATACCAATTAGTTATATTTTTTAAAAGTGATTGTTGTAATTTCTATTTTTTCAGTGGACTTCTGAGTGACAGATAAATTAATCTTAGGGAGAAAAGGGTATAGTCAGGTTGGAGAGTGTGACTAATTATTTCTTGTTTGCTTTCTTTCTCTCCTAACATATTTAGAATTCTTAACCATGATTTGTTTGTCAATATACATTAAAAATGACAAATAAACATGCAATCATTTCTAAGTCTAACCATTGAAAGAATTATACCTTTACAAAATCTGAAAATAGTTGTTTTTTTTTCCCTTGAGATTGCTCAATTACCAATGACATGCCAATATTGCTAATTTTGAATATAAATGAGATCATTTCTAATTTTTTTCCTTTCTATATTTGATCACTAACCTCTAATTTTTTTCTTTCTATATTTGATACTAATCTGAACAGGAGTTGTTTTGGGCGGAATTGGAATATTACTACTAAGTATCATTTTGTGTTGCACTACATCAAAAACCTCTTCATATAGATCAATCATATTCTGGAGGAAGAAAATAAACTATAATCAGAATCTTGAGGCCTTTATTAAGAACCATGGATCTCTATTTCCCAAAAGATATAAATATTCAGATGTTAAGAAAATGACAAACAATTTCAGAGATAAACTTGGTCAAGGAGGATATGGTTGTGTGTACAAAGGAAAACTACTTGACAGTCATCTTGTAGCAGTGAAGCTCCTTGATGAATCCAAAGGAAATGGAGAAGAATTCATCAACGAGGTTGCAAGTATCAGTAGGACTTCACATGTTAATGTTGTCACTCTTTTGGGGTTTTGTGTTGAAGACCGTAAAAGAGCTCTCATTTACGAATTCATGCCTAATGGATTTCTTGAAAAATTTATATACAGTGAAGGCCTTTTGAAGACCAATGGGCATTTGGGTTGGGAAAAACTGTATCAAATTTCAATTGGGATAGCTCGAGGACTTAAGTACTTGCACCGTGGGTGTAACCAACGGATATTGCATTTTGACATAAAACCTCACAATATTCTTCTTGATGAAGATTTTTGTCCTAAGATCTCCGATTTTGGGCTTGCAAAACTATGTACTAAGAAAGAGAGCATTATATCAATGTTGGAAGCTAGAGGGACGGTAGGGTATATTGCTCCTGAAGTGTGCTGCAGAAACTTGGGAGGAATATCGCACAAGTCTGATGTCTATAGCTATGGAATGATGATATTAGAAATGGTTGGAGGAAGAAAGAATGTTGATGATGGGGCGAGCCATACCAACAAGATATATTTTCCACATTGGGTCTATAAGCACCTTAAGCTAAATGAAAAGTTAGGATTTCAAGATGACATGACCGTGGAAGAAAACGAAATGGCAATGAAGATGATATTAGTAGGGTTGTGGTGCATACAAACCTATCCTTTACAAAGGCCATCAATGAGTAAGGTGATGGAAATGCTGGAAGGTGGCATAGAGACCCTGGAAATTCCACCCAGACCCTACTTATATTCTCCTTCAAAATCAGCAGCAACGGAATAATCTTATACTACATTACTGAAGTTCTAATTCATTGTTAAAATTACATATCGTCCATTTTGTCTAATCATTCCTAACAAATTTAGCAGAACATATCATTATAAGATTCTGGTTTACAAGGACTTTAATATGGCAATCAAAACTTTAAGGCAATGTGTGCAGCTTAATATTATTATTATTATTATTATTATTATGGGTAAGTGAGGTGTGCGCAGCTTTTTAATTTACATCATACAAGTTTTTGTATTTTTTGCAGATAGATGAAGGTGATGTTTTTAAATGGTAATTAAAAAATAAATATTTTTTAGAGTATTTTTTAATTTTCAGCGTTTAGTGATAAATGATATCCCTGTCAATCAAAATTTACCTCATTTTAAGTAATGCTTAATGTTTTCAGTGATATACAAATTGTGTTATCAAAAGAATTGGATAAATACTAAATCTGTTCAAAATTAAGTATTGAATTGAATTTTCAAAGAGCACCGAAGTCTTGTAATTCCCATATATATATATATATATATATATATATATGCATGTTGTTGCAACATACAAGTTCTCTATATTTTTAAGTTAATAAAATATCAACACATGCTCCTGCAAAACAATTGCAAGTCTCTGCAAAACAATTGCAAGTGTCTGCTGGTTTTTTACGTCTTGCCAAACAATTGGACGGATCTCATTGAATGGTGTTCATGTTGGAAATGAGGCATTAAAAACATAAACTTTGGATGAGATTTGAAATAGATTCCGCTAATAATTTTTTACGGATTTCTAGACAAGCACGTTTCTCTCCGCAAGAAGATGAACGTGGTATATTTACTTTCTGAAATCCGTTTCCGGATGAATGAGAAATTAGCTTCAAAGTGTGGTGTTTTGATAAGCCTAAATGGGTATGCAAAATGTGGGAAGTGTTTGTCCCACATAGAAAAAATGTTGAAACAAATTGAAATTTAAATAAGCTGAGTTTATGATTTGGGCTTGGGTTTGGGCCTAATTGTAAAGTCCAGATTATTCTTTTTCGGAATTTTGGATTGGGCCTAATTTTGGGCTGGGCTTATTTAAATGGGTTTCACAAATGAGTGAGTTTTTTGGGTGGTTGGTTTTTTGAATTAAAAAAACTACTTTTTAGTTTTTCTAAAAGGTTACACCTTTTAAATTAAAAAAACCATATTTTAGTTTTTCTAAAGGGTTACACCTTTTAAATTAAAAAACCACTTTTTAGTTTTTTCAAAAGGTTACACCTTTTTCCAAACCATCATGACCCATGGTTGCACCCACTCAAAAAGGCACATTGCAACCTGTTGGAATGGATGTGTCTATTGGTGAACAGACACCATGTGAACCATTGCAACCTATTGGAATAGATGTGTCTAGTGGTGAACAGACACCATGTGAACCATTGCAACCTATTGCAATGGTTGTATCCAATAATGAAGAGATACACCCCATCCGAAAAGACATTTCTGTTTTTATAAATACCCCCCTTTGGATCATTTGCAAATTGTTCATTTTCATTTTCTTCTATCTCCCTCTCTAGACTTGAACCCAACCCAAGTGGGTTCAAACCATAGGTTAAGTGGTCCGAACCACTTAGACCCTAATCCAATTTCATCGAGCCATATTAAGATTGGTCCGAACTATTTGATTCGAATTGCACCCAATTCAGCATTTATATAGCATAGATGCATTTTTGAGTCAGAGAGAGTATTACACGGAGAAGGTTCGCCGTATCCACGAGTTTGTAGTGCTGCTACTGGTGGATGTAGACCGTTGTATCCTGAGAGATAGACGCCACTGAGTCCGTTAGCACCATAGCGGGGTGAATCTGTCTTAAGGACATAGTATCCAATACTAGCCTCGGTCCAGGTTCATTCCTTGCATATTATTATTATTTTATTGCTTTACTTTGCATATTTAATTAAATATAGAGTTGCATATTTAATTAATGATTTATTAACATATTGTTAATTATCTCACGACATATTAGTATAAGGGTTATTATATCTTAAAAGTCACATTAAGCATATATTTTTCCAACAATCTTAAGACAGACTCCTTCCTTGCGTAGATTTTATTATATGTTTCTATTTAAGATATAAACAAGTAGATATTATACTAATAGTTGAGATATGATAAAATAATGTTATATACATTATTATATGATAATTTGTTAAATATTAATGCATTCAATATTATGTGAAATTGAAGCATGTTATATAAGTAGATTATTGAATTATTCAATATTGGTTGAATTATTTAATTTTGTAATATGATATTATGAAGTATATGACATTACCTTAAACATGTACCAACTAGAGGTGGAAAAAGTACTTCGTTACTTTTATCATTGGTTGCATAAGATACCGTTATGTGTATTTGCCACGAAGCAAAGATGAAACCTTAGAAATGTGATATCATATGAATTATGGAAAGGTTGAAAACCTTTCTATAAATTCTTAAAAGTGTGGGGGTGTCTATTTAAGGTTGCAGATCCTACTCTTATGAAAGGTTAAAGTGGTCCTAAAATGTGACAACCTTGTAGGTGAGTCTGTCGTGGACGGGTGCAAGAGGCACTAACAGACTACCACACTAGGCGAGCTACAAGTGCACAGTCCCCACACATAAAGCCTTTGATAGGTTATGCTCATAACAGTATTGCATATCATTTCCTTGTGCATAAATCATACAATGAAAATAAAGATGAGCTTAGAGGTAGTAAGAAGGTTAGAACATCTAAATCTTTTATTCCTGATTTTCTAGCATGTTTATTGGAGAATAAGTCACAAAGCTTTAAGGAAGCAAATTCTTCTCTTGATTATTATTATTTCTTATATTAATTATGTGATATAATTAATCATGTGATATAATATGAAACTATATTGTTATGCAAGTCTAATATTATTTTTATAAATGTTTACTTTTATTTGATACTATAATATTGAACTATGTAGTTGAATTACTTAACGTGTATTGTAATTCAAATTTACAACATAATTTATTTAATATGTGATATTATTGAATTTTGTATGAATGGACTAGTCCAATTATGTCAACTCTTCTGATAGTCAAAGGAAAACGATCTATACTAGTGTTTAAGACACGTACAGCTGTAAATGGGCTGAATCAGAGAAAATTTTCCAATAACTCGAAAGAATTTAATGGAAAATGTTATGGATACACTAAGCAAGTACACCTAGACAAGCTAAATTAAGCTAGTTAGCTCTAATATACAATTTAGCTAAAAGCTAAAATGTTATTGAGTTACAAACTAGTTAGCTTTGGTATAAGCTAAAATGATTAATGAGGTGCACAAAACCTAAGAGGAAGATGAAAAACTGTCAGTTGGTTCTAGCTCTTAACTTGATAGTAAAAAAACATGAGGGTGATGAGTAGCCATTTTAGTCATAAGCTATTTGAGCTATACATCATATCTGTACATGTAGGAGGGAATAATACTACTTATAAAGTAGTAGTTTTTGAAGAATATTCTTCAAAACAAATTACTCTTCTACCAAGATAGACCACTTAGATAAGTGTGTATTAAAGTTATGAGCTACTAGAATTGCTAGCTAAACAAACTTAACTTCAAGCTAGCGGTAATAACTGAAAAGTGGGTGTTCATCATAACTTAGTAGTGAGATATGAGAAGAGTGTGTAATAATACTTGAGAAGTGAGTGCTCACTCTGTGGTGATTGTATCCAAAACTTAAATAATAAGATAATTATTTGCTTAAATGATTGAGTTATGTGATGTGTGACACATGAAAGGTTATGACATGTTAATATGACTAACTTAACATGAATAACTCAATTCATAAATACAAGAGATGTAGAAGTAAATATTAATTAAAGCCCATATCTCTAGCATTAATTCATAGTAACGTCAGTAACATATTATAAAAACAAGTTAGAAATAAAGTGAATACATATGCACTAGAGACTGTTAGACATGCTTGTTGAAAAACGAAAATAAAACCTTGGAAAGGTAGATAGGGTGAAATATTTAATATATGGTATTTCAAGAGTTAGAAAACTATAAGAAATATATCATATATAAAATTTCAGGATTATCTCAAAGTTGTGGGGGGATATTTGTAATAGCCCTAAAATTAAAAAGGATATAATTGAGATTTTACTATTTATTTTAAGTGTTTTATGTGTTTAGGTTTAATTGATTAAATTATTTGTTTGTTCTTTATTTGATTTAATTGTTTAGTCTTTAATTAATTTAATTGTCATTTAGGTTGTTTTTGAATTGTTTTGTTGGTTAATTATTTTATGTAATTTAATTGTGGTTTTAATTAATTGGTTAATTATTATTATTATTTAATTTAATTTAATTTAATAGGTTAAATTATTAGGGTTTTTGTCTCTTTACTGTCACGTTTGAATAAAGCCGCCTTAGAGATGTAAGGAATTGTTGATTTCCGTCTCAACAATTAAAATAGAATTAGGGTTAATATCTTTTCCTAAGCCTATAAATAAAATAATAAGGGCCTGCTTAGGGTTGTAAGCACAAACCTTATTCACGAATAGTGAAAATACAGAGAGTGAAACAGAGAGTTTAAGGGAAAAACTGAAGGAGAGGAAGGTAGGGTTTGAGCCAAAGATTGTAAGCCGGACTAAGGAGGAAGCTTGAGGGCTGTTTGAGGGTTAGAACCGGAGCAAAGGAATCCCTGAAGGTGATCACGATCGCCGGAAAGTCTAGGAAGAAGACGACGTTGAAAGGTTTCAAACCGAAACCGAAAGGCAAGTTCTTTTCTTCCTCCTTCCCTTTGGCTTGTGTTCTGTGCACCTAGATAGTCTCTAGGGTTTAATTAATCAGGAACTGGAATTTACATGGTTAATATATGCTATATTGATGACTGTTCGTTGTTAAAATTAAATCTGTTATAATTCGTGCAAGTCTGTTTAGTTTTGTTTTCTTAAAGCATGTAAATTCTATTGGAATTTTAGTTACTGTATTTTCTTTCAACAACTGTAAACGAATGATTGGGATGCTA